GGTAGAGAGGGGGAGCAGAGGCTGGGTCTCCTATGGGACAGTACAAGGGGTTATGGAGGGTAGGTCAGTGAGTCAGTCACTGAGCAGTTCAGAGCGGGGTGATGGGGAGGCTCTACTGTACTATGTTGTCGCAGTGGTGTTCTGCTCAGTAATCTGTAGCAGCTGCGTCAGCCAGCCCCTCCGGCAGTATTGTCCTTGGTAAACTTGGCGTTCTTGTTGAACAGGACTGCGGTACTGGAAGAGGGAGGGGAGAGCGAGAGAGAGGGGCTACGATCAGCAGTAGAGACTGGAGGGGGGAGACAGAGATACAGATACAGGCTTAAACCCTGTCCTTGTTTTTCTCCAGTATACTTTATCCCTCCAGTTCCTTGCCCTCTCCCCCTCCCTTATCCAAATGGACGTCTCTGAACTGCTCATATGGCCTCTGCTGGTTACCTCTCAGAACTAGGATCAGTGCAGCAATTTGGATGTATCTTTCTAGAAAAGAGAGAACCCAGCTGAAAAGTAGTCAGGGTACTTAAGCTGTGCTGTGCCTGGTGGCTGTGGTAAGCTGTGAGAATGGCTAGTGTTTGGTTCACTGTAGCTTTTCTGGTCTCTTTGCACTTCAAGGCAATATTCTCTAACCCCAGCACCCTGTGCTCTAAAAGCAGGCTGTCCCCGAGCTGTCCCCCCGTCCCGGTGTCAGAGCCTCACCTCCCCCTCTCTCTGTCTCTCTCCCCCCAGGACGCACCGACCCTGTGCCCATCACCCTCAAATATGATGTCATGGGGATGGGACGCATGGAGATGGAGGTAAGACACTGTCAGTGGCTCGCAAAATATTGATGTTCTACAACGTGTATCCTACGACATACACTCTATAGGTGTAAAATGGGTCTGTGTATTTGTGAGTGCTATTTTAGTTGTTCTTATGCGAGTTTGTTAACTTACATATACCCTGAATGTGTGTGTAGTTGGACGTTGCCGAAGATGCTACAGAGAAGAGGAAAGTGCTGGAGGTGGAGAAGGAAGTCACAGAGGAATTACAGCAGAAATACAAGGTGAGACGCTTCTTACTAGCTAACTCAATCCAGCCATACATACACCTCTGTTCTCAAGGTCCTCGTTTCAACAATCTCTCACTAGCATTCGTTCACTCGTTTCAAGGTGACCCTGTTTCCTGCATTTGCATACTTGTTCTTACTCTTTCTGTCCCTTCTTGCTTTTCTCCTGTGCCAGTGAGTCATAGCCCTGTCTGGTTATGATTCTGCTGCCGCTCTGTGTGACTATGCAATAACATCGGCCTTGGAGGATCATAGAGCCTCTCCTGTTCCTCCTCTCCCACTCCCTGTTTCTCACTCCCTCGCGCTTCTTTCTTGTAGAGAAAATTGGATGACTTTATGTGAGGAGTTGTAGTCATGTTGCCTGTGGTGGTGTGAGATTCTGGATATAGGAGACAAACACAGACAGACGGACGGATGCTCAGTCAATGGAGCTACTGGAATGCATGTGCCAAATAACTTATCTTAGCAGGTTACCGGTATGTCTGCAGAAATGGTATTCGGAAAGTATTCAGACCCCTTGACTTTTTCCACATTTGTTAGGTTACAGCCTTATTCTAAAATGGATTAAATTGTTTTTTTCCCCCCTCATCAATCTACACACAAGACCCCATAATGACAAAGCAAAAACAGGTTTTTAGAAATGTTAGCATATTCATAAAAAAATTAAAACTGAAATATCACATTTACATAAGTATTCAGACCCTTTACTCAGTACTTTGTTGAAGCACCTTTGGCAGCGATTACAGCCTCGAGTCTTCTTGGGTATGACGCTACAAGCTTGGCACACCTGTATTTGGGGAGTTTCGCCCATTCTTCTCTGCAGATCCTCTCAAGCTCTGTCAGGTTGGATGGGCAGCGTCGCTGCACAGCTATTTTCAGGTCTCCAGAGATGTTCGATCAGGTTCAAGTCCGGGCTCTGGCTGGGCCACTCAAGGACATTCAGAGACTTGTCCCGAAGCCACTCCTGCTTTGTCTTGGCTGTGTGCTTAGGGTCATTGTCCTGTTGGAAGGTGAACCTTCGCCCCAGTCTGAGGTCCTGAGTGCTCTTGAGCAGGTTTTCATCAAGGATCTCTCTGTACTTTGCTCTGTTCATCTTTCCCTCTATCCTGACTAGTCTCCCAGTCCCTGCCACTGAAAAACATCCCCACAGCATGATGCTGCCACCACCATGCTTCACCGTAGGGATGGTGCCAGGTTTCCTGCAGACATGACGCTTGACATTCAGGCCAAAGAGTTCAATCTTGGTTTCATCAGACCAGATAATCTTGTTTCTCCTACTCCCACTCCCTCTGAGAGACCTTTAGATGCCTTTTGGCAAACTCCAAGCGGGCTGTCATTTTACATTTACATTTACATCATTTAGCAGACGCTCTTATCCAGAGCGACTTACAAATTGGTGCATTCAACTTATGATAGCCAGTGGGACAACCACTTTTTTTTCTTCTTTTTTTTAAATGGGGGGGTGGGGGAGGGGGGGTAGAAGGATGACTTTATACTATTCCAGGTAGTCATGTGCCTTTTACTGAGGAGTGGCTTCTGTCTGGCCACTCTACCATAAAGGCCTGATTGGTGGAGTGCTACAGAGATGGTTGTACTTCTGGAAGGTTCTTCCATCTCCACAGAGGAACTCTGGACTTCTGTCAGTGACCATCGGGTTCTTGGTCACCTCCCTGACCTAGGCCCTTCTCCCCCGATTGCTCAGTTTGGCAGGCGGCCAGCTCTAGGAAGAGTCTTGGTTCCAAACTTCTTCTATTTAAGAATGATGGAGGCCACTGTGTTCTTGGGGACCTTCAATGTCGCAGAAATGTTTTGGTACCCTTCCCCAGATCTGTGCGTCGACACAATCCTGTCTCAGAGCTCTATGGACAATTCCTTCGACCTCATCGCTTGGTATTTGCTCTGACATGCACTGTCAACTGCGGGACCTTATATAGACAGGTGTGTGCCTTTCCAAATCATGTCCAATCAATTACCACAGGTGAACTCCAATCAAGTTTTAGAGACATCTCAAGGATGATCAATGGAAACAGGATGCACCTGAGCTCAATTTCGAGTCTCATAACAAAGGGTCTGAATATTTTTGTAAATAAGGTATTTATGTTTTTTTAATTAATGTGCAAAAATAAAAATGAAACATTTCGCTTTGTCATTATGGGGTATTGTGTGTAGATTGATGAGGGGAAAACATTTATTTTATCAATTTTAGAATAAGGCTGTAATGTAACAAAATGTGGAAAAGGGGAAGGTGTCTGAATACTTTCTGAATGCACTGTATAAGTAATAACCTGCGAGCACAATCCTTGTACGCCTCAATTTGTTACCTTATGTGATTTAGTTATTTCAGTTATTGAACTTTTAACCTCAATGATAAACAACCATCGAGTTTCCTGTTGCTGATTGGAGAGGGGGCAGATTACTCAACCAGTACCAAGCCCTATCATAGGAGAATAAAGACCAGATTATACTGGCTCTGATCTTATTTAATCTTTTCCATTTTCATCTCTAATCTGTATCAATGTCACTCACATCTCCCGTCTCCACCCCACCCCTCCTTAACCCCAACAATAGGACCAGGTGGAAAAGGAGAAGGCCATTGCTAAAGCCCTGGAAGACCTGAGGGCCAACTTTTACTGTGAGCTGTGTGAAAAACAGTACCAGAAGCACCAGGAGTTTGACAACCACATCAACTCCTACGACCATGCTCATAAGCAGGTGAGGAGGACCTCCCCCTACCCCCACGCTGCTACCCCCCTACACACACTGGGTATACTGCCACAGTGTACACAAGCTTAGAGAAACAGAGCCTTAAATCCCAGTAACTCCAGAAACAAGTGTAAGGAGCCTGTCTCAGTGGAGAGGGCTTTGCGGATATAAAATGGTCTTGTTGAATGATGTTGCTGCACCATTGCCCTTGCTGTGGATGCAGAAATCCTTACCTGCTCTCTTTCTCTCCCTCCCTATTTCCCTCCATCGGACCCAATCTGTCTTTCTCCTCCTCTCTTCCCTTCCTCTCTCCCTCCATCCTGCCCTTGGTGTGCTGCTGCAGAGGCTTAAGGAGCTGAAGCAGAGGGAGTTTGCGAGAAACGTGTCATCGCGCTCCCGGAAGGGTGGGAAGAAGCAGGAGAAGCTGCTACGCAGGCTGCATGAGCTGGCTGAGCAGAGGAAACAGCAGAACCGGTAAGCACATGCTACAGTATATACTGTACACTCAACTGCCCTCTACTGGCTGGAGTGGAGGCTGTGACCCAATAATGAATAATAGCTGTGTGGCAGCTTCCCATCAGTGCAGTGTTTGCAGCACTGACTAGTGGAATGCAGATGTATGTGCAAAGAAAAATTATAATTTAAAATGGTGTTCTGGATGAAACGCATCACACATGAAACACATAACCTTAATATGTTCTTTATTGTTGTGTTTCAGTACCCCAGGAAGTGGTCCCATGTTCAAACCCACCACCGTGGCAGTAGACGGGGAGAAGGGTGAAGACGGGAGTGCTGTAACCCCGGAGTATGTTCCCCCTGCAGACACTGCCATGGAGGGCTCGTCAGGGGAGGAGAAGAGCAGTGGGGGTCAGGCCTCCCCCAAACCAGCCCCCACCATCAGCTTCTCCCTGGGGAAGAGCAGCTCATCCCCGGCCGGGGCCTCCAAGGTCAGCGTGTCCTTCTCCTTCGCCAAGAAACCCCCGGTGAAGCTGGAGACGGCCGCAGCAGTGTTCGCTGAGCTCCATCAGGATGAGGAGGAGGAGGAGGAGGGACAGGAGGGAGGGGAGAAGGCCGCGGGACAGGAGGAGACGTTAGGCTGCAGCACCGAGAGCCCCAAGGGAGGAGGAGGGGGGGAGAGTGTAGCAGCAGGGCCAGAGGAGGAGCAGCCACAGCAGGAGCAACTACAACAAGAACAACCGAGCAGCAGGAGGAGGATGATGGCGCCTCCTTAGCCTCCACCCTCAACAAGCTGAAGATGATGATGAAGAAGGAGGAAGGCTGGGCCGGCCAGGAGCCTGAGTACTACCACTACATCCCACCAACCCACTGCAGAGTCAAACCCCGCTTCCAGTTCCTGGTGTTCATGAAGGCAACAGACCAGTGTGAGATCAGGGAGCAAGAAGAAGAAGAAGAAGAGGTGGAAGAGAAGAAGACAGAGAAGGTGGTAGCAGAGGTTTCCGAGCAGACACCGCCAAAAGCTACTGACTGCAAATCAGAGGAGCCAGAGAAGACTCCTGCAGCTCCAGTCACAGAGCCACTCCCACTCCTACATCACCTAAAGTGAAGACTGAAGAGGCCTCCACCAGCTTAACAGACCCCCCTCCCACAACAGCCCCCACTGCAGTACCAGACAGCAAGCAGGAGGCCCCACCACCAGTCCTAGAGCCCAACTCAGGCCCCAAAATCCCCACAGGCCCCTTCTTCCTGGTCCTGAGCAAAGACGAAAGCACCACTCTGCAGTGGCCCTCGGAGCTGCTGGATTTTACCAAGGCTCAGCCCGCCCTCTCTTACAGCTGCAACCCCCTCTACTTCGACTTCAAACTGTCCCGCAACAAAGGGGCCCGTGCTGGACGAGCAGCAAAGTCCTCCAAGCCCGCTGGTGAAGGAGCTGAGAAAAAAACCCAATCCAGAGGCAGCTGCTGCAGTCAATGAGGGGAATTCTGCTGCTGCCGCCACCACCCCTGGGCCCAGCACTGACAACACTGATAAGGAGCAGCCCTCCTTAACAGTTGAGGGTGGCCCAAGTGGAGACTGAGGAGCAAAAGCTACAGAGTAGCACCAGCGGAGCCAAGAAGAAGAAGAAGAAGAAGAAGAAGAAGAAGCATAAGAAATCTGGCAAAGGCTCCAAACGCAAAGAAAAAGAGAAGGGAGCCGTAGTGGACGGGGACGCAGAAACTGAGATCCTAGGAGAGAAAACCAAAAAGAAGAAAAAACACAAACGAAAGAAGAGCAAAAACAAAGGTGAAGAGGGAGGTGGTGGTGATAAGGAAAAACCTAAAGAGGAAAAAGCAGTAGCCGCAATGTTTTCTAGTGCTCCCCCAGCACCACCAGCAGGAACAGGATCTGATACAGGAACGGAACCTGGGAAGAGGAAACGACCAGCCAAAGAAGCACTTCAGAAGTCCGGGGCGGAGGAAGGTGGGGCAGGGAAAGGCTCTGACGAGGCCAAGCCCTCTGAGGAGCACAACGGCACCAAGCGTCTGAAGACAGACCCCAGCGCCCCACCCAGCGCTTCCTGCTCCTCCTCGGCCCAGAAGAGCCCCGGGCCAGGCAGACCACCCAGCAGTGAGAGTGAGGAGGAAGGAGGTGGAGGCTCCGCTTCACGATCCAGCCGCCGCAGGTCCACCCCCCGGGAGGGGCGCCGGCACCAGAGCGAGGACTCTGGCCGCTCCCGAAGCCGCTCGTCGCATCGGGGAGATGGGCGAGGGAGCAGCCGGCGGCGGCACCGCGGCCAGGCCTCCCGTAGCCAGTCAGACTCCAGTAGCTCAGAGCGCTCCTCCAGCGCCTACAGCCGCCGCAGCTACTCAGACAGCTACAGTGACGACAGCGACGGGGGCCGCCACCGGAGACACTCTAAACGCTCCTCTGACTCCGAGTATGATCGACGGGGAAGCGGCGGGCGACGGCGCTCCAGAAGACGTCACTACTCTTCCTCGTCCTCGGAGGACTCTCGCTCACGCTCACGCAGCCACAGCCGCAGGAAGAGGCACCAGCGGCGGCACCGGAGCAGCTCTCGGAGCTCTAGCAGCAGGAGCCGCAGCAGCAGCGCCAGGTCGTGGAGACGCAGCTACAGCCGCAGCCACAGCTCAGCCAGCCGCTCCTCCAGCTCCACCAAGGGCTCCCCTCACCGGGGTCGGGGAGGCCGGGGGAGCCACAGGGGCCGGGCAGACAGCGCCACACGCCGCCAAGACTTCAACCGCTCCTGCATCTACCGCTCCCAGTCCCCCCGCTCTGCCTCATCACGAGCCCCAAACCGCAACAGCAACTCGTCCAGCTCCCAGAGCCAGAGGGCAGGGGGGTCCCGGGGAGACGGAGGGGGAGAACAGAGGAACTCTTCCTCACATTTCACCGCCCGCCAGCTTCTGGATAAGATCCAGTCCAGGAAGGGATCTGATGTCCCAACCACAGTGACCAAGTCTGGCACCAAGATCAAGGACCCACCATCAGGCTACTTTGGGCCCAAACTGCCTCCAGCTCTGGGCAATAAGTCCATGCTGCCCCTGTTCGGCAAGCTCCAGGCAGGGAAGAAATACCCTGCGATCCCCCTGACCCGGCCTGATGGTGGAGAGAAGTCATCAGCGGGGAAAGGTTCAAATGCCGGCGAAGAGGTCATCCTGATGGAGCCCATTCGGGAGTTCCCCCCACCTCCTCCCCCTCCCCCAGTTCATAAGAAGGTGGAGGAGACGGTAGTAGTAGTCCAGGAGGAGGCCCGCCACCTCACCCTGGACACACGGGTACTTCATGAGCCCCGGTCGCTGTTCGATCAGGAGCCCTCCATGTTAATGCCCATGTACCAGGGCGAGCCGGGACAGGACCCCTCCCAGAACCCCATGATGGAGCCCCTCATGCCCGACATGCAGCAGCAGCAGCCACCCCCCATGCACGCCTACCCCAACTACCCCCCACCCAGCCTGGAGGAGGAGGACATGGGCATGGAGGCAGAGGAGGACGGTCTGGCCCCGCTGGAGAGCCAGCCCATCACCTTCACCCCAGAGGAGATGGAGAAGTACGGCAAGCTGCAGCAGGCTGCCCAGCAGCACATCCAGCAGCAGCTCCTGGCCAAGCACATCAAGTCCTTCCCCTCAGCCGCAGCAGCACAGGCTGCAGCGAACATGGCTGCAGCAGCTAACCATCTGCAGCCGGCACCCCCTCCCCCACAGCAGCAGATGATCCAGATCCACCAGCCTGCCGTGTCTGCAGCCTCGGCCACCTCCATCACCACAGTACAACACCTCATCCAGCAGCACCACGCTGCTCAGGCTGCAGCCATGGGCATTCACCCACACGGCCACCACCCGCACCCCCAGTTAGCCCAGGTGCACCACATCCCCCAGCACCACCTCACCCCCATCTCCCTGTCTCACCTGGGACACTCTCTTGGCCACACTCTGGGCCACCAGTTGGGAGTGGGACACGCTGGACTGATCCCTGCCCACCACACAGCCTTCCTCTCTGGCCAGCCCATACACATTATCCCAGCCTCGGCACTTCATCACCACACCCCCTTAGCCCTCCACCACATACCACACTCATCCCTCTACCCAACGCTGTTCGCCCCCCGGCACAGTAACGCCGCTGCGGCAGCCGCACTGCAGCTCCACCCCTTCCTGCACCCCATCTTCTCAGGGCAGGACCTCCAGCACCCCCCTAACCACGGCTCCTGAGAAGGACCTTCACTAGAGCCATGTTTCCACATCAGAGGAGGGTGTTTTGGCCAGAGCAGGCCTGGTTAAACATCTGAGTAAACAGGGAGAGAGGGAGGTGTAGTGGCACCATTGTGCAGCAGGTGATGATGAGAACCTCATCAGACTGGCCACCATTAGACCACTGGCCAGACAGAGGTGCTGAGATATGCTGCCTGTACAGAGGTAAACAACAGACATTTCCTGTGGGCTCTTTGAATGGACCCCTCCTTCTGACAGCTGACTGACATTCACCCTGAGGTTTCTGGACAGGGTGGAGGAGGGTTTGTGGCAACCTCAGTTTGTTATGAATGGGTACCCAGGTTAATAGGAGAAAAAAGAAGCAGAAACCTCTGGAGTATTTTTTTTGTCCCAGTTTATAACCTGATTGTTGCTGTCAATGTTCTTTGTTTTCTACAGCCAAAGAGACGCAGTGGCTGAAGCCATACGCAGGATGGTGGTGTGGGAAAGGAAAGGGGGAGGGGAGAAGAGATGGGGACAAAAGGGGACTTAGGGTGGCATCCTAGACTGGAAACAGCCTTGACTTTGTAATGTAATCTGGTGGCTCTAGTCTACTGCCTGACTTCTGTTGTCATTAATATCTTATGTTCTCACACGACTACTTGCTCTCTTCATGACCTGTAATATTCACCAACACTTTGTAATACAGTATAGTGTATATAGATCACTGAGCAATGTGAAGTATCCCTCTAATATGATGGGCATATAAGGGATGTTCTTTATTACTGACTAATGAAATGTTGCCCATAATGAAATGTAAATTGTCACTGGTGGGGGAACACCAATAAGAGGTTGGGTGAAGCTTAAGTTTTATTGGAGGTACTGTGGGGGGGTCACACCCTCTTAGTGCTGTAGGGTCAAAGGTCATGTTGTTCCAGGTGGTAGTGGTTGTATATCGAAATGACTTGCACTGAAATCTGTACATCAAGATGCTGCTTTCGCATCATGTAACAAATGTATGATTGTAGTATACTGCAATAATTGTATTTTATTTTGTTTTGTTTCTAAATTATTTTCCAAAATGCTCCTCGAAGGAATGTTTTTTTCCTCTTGTGTAATTTTTGCTCAATGTAAATAAAATTGCTGTAGGTAACCCCAATAACATTCTAGAGGTTTGTTGCTACTGTAAAAAAAAAATAAATAATAACTATGAAGGAACGAAGATGGACAAGAATACTTTATCAAGGCAATTTCTGAACTATTATCCTGTATGGGAAGGGACTGCCCTGTAAGTGGCAGCAATGGTATGTCTTTTTTAAATATTATGATGCGTCAGCAAATAAAGAGTTTTGAGTTGCTACATGTCTGTCTGTCTTAACTATGTTTAGCTGGTGAAGAGTGAAAAGTTTGCAGTGGTATGACTAAGGGGTTGCGAGCAATACAGAGAAAAAATGTCCAGTTTGGGGACTTCCAGTATGGTACATTATAAGCAGATTACATGTAAACTCAGCAAAAAAAGAAACGTCCCTTTTTCAGGACCCTGTCTTTCAAAGATAATTCTTAAAATTCCAAATAACTTCATAGATCTTCATTGTAAAGGGCTTAAACACTGTTTCCCATGCTTGTTCAATGAACCATAAACAATTAATGAACATGCACCTGTGGAACGGTCGTTAAGACACTAACAGTTTACAGACGGTAGGCAATTAAGGTCACAGTTATGAAAACTTAAGACACTAAAGAGGCCTTTCTACTGACTGAAAAACACCAAAAGAAAGATGCCCAGGGTCCCTGCTCATCTGTGTGAACGTGCCTTAGGCATGCTGCAAAGAGGCATGAGGACTGCAGATGTAGCCAGGGCAATAAATTGCTATGTTCATACTGTGAGACGCCTAAGACAGCGCTACAGGGAGACAGGACGGACAGCTGATGTGACAGCTACAGTGGCAGACCACGTGTAACAATACCTGCACAGGATCGGTACATCTGAACATCACACCTGCGGGACAGGTACAGGATGGCAACAACAACTGCCCGAGTTACACCAGGAACGCACAATCCCTCCATCAGTGCTCAGACTGTCCGCAATAGGCTGAGAGAGGCTGGACTGAGGGCTTGTAGGCCTGTTGTAAGGCAGGTCCTCACCAGACATCACCGGCAACAACGTCGCCTATGGGCACAAACACACCGTCGCCGGACCAAACAGGACTGGCAAAAAGTGCTCTTCACTGACGAGTCGCGGTATTGTCTCACCAGGGGTGATGGTCGGATTCGCGTTTATCGTCGAAGGAATGAGCGTTACACCGAGGCCTGTACTCTGGAGCGGGATCGATTTGGAAGTGGAGGGTCCGTCATGGTCTGGGGCGGTGTGTCACAGCATCATCGGACTGAGCTTGTTGTCATTGCAGGCAATCTCAACGCTGTGCGTTACAGGGAAGACATCCTCCTCCCTCATGTGGTACCCTTCCAGCAGGCTCATCCTGACATGACCCTCCAGCATGACAATGCCACCAGCCATACTGCTCGTTCTGTGCGTGATTTCCTGCAAGACAGGAATGTCATGGCCAGCGAAGAGCCCGAATCTCAATTCCATTGAGCATGTCTTGGACCTGTTGGATCAGAGGGTGAGGGCTAGGGCCATTCCCCCCAGAAATGTTGGGGAACTTGCAGGTGCCTTGGTGGAAGAGTGGGGTAACATCTCACAGCAAGAACTGGCAAATCTGGTGCAGTCCATGAGGAGGAGATGCACTGCAGTACTTAATGCAGCTGGTGGCCACACCAGATACTGACTGTTACTTTTGATTTGACCCCCCCCCCCCCCCCCCCCCCCCCCTTTGTTCAGGGACACATTATTCCATTTCTGTTAGTCACGTGTCTGTGGAACTTGTTCCGTTTATGTCTCAGTTGTTGAATCTTATGTTCATACAAATATTCACACGTTAAGTTTGCTGAAAATAAACACAGTTGACAGTGAGGACGTTTCTTTTTTTGCTGAGTTTAGTAATAAATACTAGCACAGACATGCATTCTTTACATAATGTGGCAGACGGCTTCTGAAATTGCAATGAAAAGTTAATTTCTTATGCACAGTACAAGCTTCTTGAGATGAATGCATGTTGCATGCAGCCCTTTTAGACTAGAGGACAAGTCTACTAGACTAATAAGGCTAGAGGACTTTACATCTGCTTTGACTGTCCTCTGAAGGTTATGGAATGCTGAGCTGTCACTAGATGGCACCAGCGCTCAGTAAAGTTCATGTAGCCTCATTTACAGCTAGCTGTACATCAAGACATGTCCAGGAGTGAGACTGTCTGATTTTAGCGTAACATTTTTCATCCATAGTTCCATATCTACCTGCTGGAACACTACATGTGTGCTTATTGCTATCCCAGTATTGTATTTGAAATAAATGTGTGATAAATGGATTGTATGAAAATGTATGCACTCACTACTGTAAGTCTGTATGCACTCACTACTGTAAATCGCTCTGGATTAGAGTGTCTGCTAAATGACTAAAATGTGATGGTAGGGGTTCCTATGCCCACTCAGGAGGCATGGAGTCTGGATAGGTCCCCAGACTAGGGCCCCAGACTAGGGCTCCTCAAGTACTACAGTCTTGAAAGCTTCCAGTAATTATATTTCTATCAGTGGAAGGAAAAGCCCTCCAAACAATAGCTTTACTGTTGTACATTTAAACTCCATATTGTATGACAGGCTCTTACATTTTCTGCGAGAGATTTATTTAAACTATGGGGCATGCTTTATATCCATTGTTAGTTTTGACCCATACCTAATTCAATTGCTAGATTACATGGACAGTAATGTACACTTCAGAGACAGATTAAGACTCATTGTTTTTTAAATTAATGTATTTTCAGAGAATTACAATTTGAACCTTGGTTGCACTCACATAGTGAGACTAGGGCCAAGCAAATGTCCAGATAATTTACATGTTGAAAGTGTGGCAACAATACACCTTGTTCAGATAGTTTCACAAAACTTGACAAACAAAAATGTGATGAAATATTCTCCATGTTTGTTTTGTTCTTACTGTATCTGTCTGTAGCTTGCGCACAGGTCCCTGTTAACTGCACTCTTCATCCCTGGACTACATACATGTATTTGTTAAACTGACATAAGTATTCTCCAGGCAGCATCGTTAGGATGTGTGATGAGGTAAGGTGCAACATCAGCTTTTCATCCATTTCCAGAGAACTATTTTTCTGTCCATTTAAGGATCATCCTCATTTGGGTACATTGGCAGTAAACAGTAAAATAATGCTTCAAATAGATGATCAATATGAAACCACACTGAATACCATCCACAAGGCAAGGCAATGGAGAACTGCTCATTATAGGGGAGACTAAGGCAAGCAAGTGGACTTTGAAGGAGAATTGGTTTGAAAAAAGGTAACCAGTCATTTGAAATGTCCTCTTCACCCACCTACAGCTTCACCTTCACACAGAGGCTGTCAGGAGGATGACCGCAGAGGTCAGTGAGCTGGAATTATGGTTGCAAGGTTCCACGTTGTTCAGTTTAAAGTTAAATTAAAGTATAGACACTGAGTGTTCAAAACATTAAGGACACCTGCTCTTTCCATAACAGACTGACCAGGTGAAAGCTATGATCCCTTATTGATGTCACCTGTTAAATCCACTTCAATCAGTATAAATGAACGAGGATATGGGTTAAACAATTATTTTTAAGCCTTGAGACATGGATTGTGTATGTGTCCCATTCAGAGGGTGAATGGTCAAGACGAGTGCCTTTGAACGGGGTATGGTAGTAGGTGCCAGGCGCACTGGTTTGTGTCAAGAACTGCAACGCTGATGGGATTTTCACACTCAACCGTTTCCCGTGTGTATCTAGAATGGTCCACAACCCAAAGGCCATCCAGCTAACTTGACAACTGTGGGAAGCATTGGAATCAACATGGGCCAGTATCCCTGTGGAACGCTTTCGACACCTTGTAGAGTCCATGCCCCGATGAATTGAGGCTGTTCTGAGAGCAAGAGGGGGGTGCAACTCAATATTATGAAGGTGTCCTTAATGCTTTGTACACTCAGTGTATATGTCTCGCTTAACACCCATTTTACTGGTGCAAACAACTCGGAGTGGTTGAAATAGAAGTGGGTGGCAAAACCCATGGAAATTAAAAGACTGATAATTCCTTGCCTTCCGATCGTAAACCAATACTTTCAAGGAACCCTCCGATTAGAAGACAAGCTTATTTTATCACCGTTCACGTATCTTATGGGCTTATTGTGCAAAAATGTCCAAGACCAATGCAAAACTGTGGTTGCAGATGCGGTCATGGTCAGCCCAGGTACTTGACCACCAGGAACATGACCACACAGGTGAGCAGCATCCCTCCAATCATGATGAACTTATCCTGGGTGGCCCTCTTCTCGATCAGCCTCATCACTGTGTTGGACAGACCCAGCATGTTGGCCACATCCAGCATCTTCTTATGGGTCCCCTGGATTTAGGGAAGACAGAGAGGAGAAAAGCCATCAAACATTAGCTGCTGAAGTTCCATTGATTGTGCTGTTGTTTCCTGAAGAAAAAGCTGAAGTTAGTTATTAATGGCTATTCTGCTTCATTGCTGTTTGTTTGTGGGAATACTGTATGCACAGTAGTATCATAACCTGCATTTAGCCTAGTCATGACAAAGCTCCATTCAACTGATTAGGGAGAGGCTGTCTGAGGAACCACACCCAGCCGTTCTGTCCTCCCTCAGCTGTTTCTCACGGCCAGCCCATCTGATCACCAGACGCCCTGATAACAGGAGGCCCATAGCAGCCTCCACCAGGAACACCATCTCTTCTCCTCCCTGGAAATATGTACTCAGCCTGCTACTGACGACCACACACACACTTCTACTACACATAGTGATCATTACAGAGGACAGAAACTGGGTCAGCCAAGTTTGTTTTGGAATACTGATTACATCGACTGCGATCTGCCCTGCCCTGTCACGGTCAGTGTTCCTTGGCAAGGTGTCAACAACAAAAACAGCATCTTGACAATGCTGCAGACCTATCACACGTGCCATTGGGATCTGATGCAAACTCTTGGCATCCACTACAGAGGGTAGTGCGTATGGCCCAGTACATCCTGGGGCCGAGCTCCCTGCCATCCAAGACTACACCAGGTGGTGTCAGAGGAAGGGCCATAAAAATGTCAAAGACTCCAGCCACCCAAGTGATAGACTTATCTCTGCTACTGCACGGCTACCGATGCACCAAGTCTGGAACCAACGGGACCCTGAACAGCTTCTACCCACAAGCCATACGACTGCTAAATAGTTAACAAATAGCTACCAGAACTATCTGCATTTTGCACTCTTTTGACTCATCAGATACGCTGCTGCTACTGCTTATTATCTATCCTGTTGCCTAGTCACTTTACCCCTACCTAAACATACATATCTACCTCAATTACATCGTACCCCTGCACATGGACTCGGTACTGGTACCGTGTATATAGCCAAGTTATCTTTACTCATTGTGTATTTATTCCTCGTGTTATTATTTTCTATAATTCTTCTCTCTGCATTGTTGGGAAAGGCGCGTATGTAAGCATTCCACTGTTAGTCTACAACTGTTCTTTACAAAGCATGTGACAAATCATATTTGATTCGTAAGGGGAAACACACACACACCTTGAGCGTGCCCCTCTGGTCCCTGAGTCCGGTGAGGATGCTGCTGCCGCTGCCCAGGAGGTCATCCATGCCCCTGTGTGCGTTGTTCAGGTTGGAGTTTAACTGCAACGTCTCGTCTATGGGGATGGAGGTGTCTGCATCCTGTAGGGGACAATACCGGTAACATCTCAACAATGTTCCCTCAATAAATGTATTTAGGTTTTATTGCCCATGTTACACCAGTTATGGTGTGTCAAGCAAAGTTTGTAAGCATGTTTTAGGTGATTTTTTAAAAGGTTATCATTACATGAGTATAGACTTTACTGTAGTGCTGATGATTATATGTGGTTTTGGAGTGGGCCACTACTACTGACGTTGGTGGTGAAGGTACGACTCATGAGTTCCTCCCTCTCTCGGTCCTGGGCCTCTCGTGAGTAGCGGCGGTGCTGGAAGTTCCTCAGGGCCGTCTGGAGGTGCTGAACATCATACTTCAGCTGGTCTACCCGCCTGCGGACGGGACACAGACAGAGACCACATTCTTCTTACCCCAGCCGAATAATGGCAGAGGAAATCTCACAGGGTAAAAATGTCAGCCTTTGCCTCCAGCTCCATCCAGCATTTCAGGGCTATGGTTTAGTCACTCCTTCACTAACTCATGACATCTCCCTTGGTATGCTCTGTATGGATGTCTTCTAGTTCTCAATAAAAGCTTTCTATCGTCACTAAGATAAGTCAACATGCCTCCCTTCTTCCCCATCTGACATACTTCTCCACTTCTCCACCTGGCTGAAACCCCTGAGGGCCAGTCTCCCGCCACCCCTCTCTCCCTCTCCTCCTGAGCATCACCTGTTCGTGGCTCAGCCCTGCGGCCCCAGTGTACTGTAGCTGTCCTGAGATCAGAGGAGAGCTGTGGAACGGGGCGCAGCAGTGTGTCCCCTGAGGCCTGTTTACCCAGCTCTGAAGTGACGCCTTGCCCAACACGTCAGGAATGCCGGTGATGACGGGGCTTCCAAGGGAATGTTTTCACAGAGCCACGTCGCCACAGGGCAACACACTGCCTGTTTCATCTAGCTGCTACCTCGTCCCGGTTCCCACCCATCTTTATGAAACATTCATCGCCACGCCATCTCTGGCCGGATTTGGGTCAACGATGCAGTTTATGAGTACTCACAGTTTGGCGTTCTGACGGCGGTTTGGCGGTTCTTTGCTGGCCAGGATATCCAGACGTTCCAAATGGCTGAAGATCTGGTCGATTCTGGCCTGCAGCTCGTTCTCCAACACTGGAGGGCGCACACACATACAGAAACAATTAAAACACAACCCTGAACAGTTGTTTCAATCCCCAAATAGGCCAATCTTTTTTTTTTTATGTTAGTTATGTTCATTAGAATAAATCAGACAAGCCAGATTATGTCAGTGGTTTGTCATACTGTAGTTAGTTTCCCCATTCCATACTACCATGGAATTTAGCCCCACAGTTTCAGGTGAATCCAAGAGAGTGATGAAAGCAAATGTGTTATTTCCTCAAACTTTGCAGAGAAAGTTAATCCACATTGAAACAAAGGGCCTTGTACATAATCTCTTCATGAAGGCAAATCAGCAACTGATTCTTATTTGTAGTCAGATATCCATCGTTACACCCGTTTCATTCTCAGACTGCTGAGATTCTAGATAGCGTTTGATTCCAAGGTGACAGCAGCACTAGGCTTGTGGGAAGCTTTTATCTGCCCTTTAAAAGGACTAGCACCATCTTGTCCCCCACCCCCACCCTTCTCCCTCTCCCACCCTGACTGAGTGACTCCTCGCTCGGACGCGTGCTGCATCCTTCATCCTTCCACCCTCTAACATGCGAGATGATGTCATTGTCAAGACTGGGCGGCCGACTGGCTGCCACCATTATCTTTAGAGAAGCCTTCCCAGTCGTCCCTCTGCCCCCACCCCTCTGCTTCCTGCCCTGGCACCAGCCTGGCTCACAGAACACCGCCCGCCCTGCCCACCTCCCAAAACAATCAGTAGGGAGGGCAGGGTACAGCCTGGCTAAAAGGGCTGCGCAACACTGGAAAAGGGGAAAAGAAGGGAGAAGGAAACGGTTTCCTCCTTCAGATGCACATGCTGTCTAGTTGTAAATTCAGAATTTATCATGTATTTATAATTATCTGAATTTCCAGCTGATACTTCAGGAGAGCAAAGCCATTCTGACAGTGGTATCTTATTATACTGAACAAGAATATAAACACAACATGCAACATTTTTATAGATTTTACTGAGTTACAGTTCATATAAGGAAATCAGTCAATTGAAATAAATTCATTAGGCCCCAATCTATAAATTTCACATGACTGGGAATACAGATATGCACCTGTTGGTCACAGATACCTTAAAAATAAGGTAGGGGCCTCGATCATAAAACCAATCAGTATCTGGTGTGACCACCATTTTCTTCATGCAGCGTGACATCTCCTTCGCATCGAGTTGATCAGGCTGTTGATTGTGGGCTGTGGAATGTTGTCCCACTTCTCTTCAATGGCTGTGCGAAGTTGCTGGATATTGGCGGGAACTGGAACACGCTGTGGTACACGTCGATCCAGAGCATCCCAAACATGCTCAATGGGTGACATGTCTGGTGAGTATGCAGGCCATGGAAGAACTGGGACGTTTTCAGCTTCCAGGAATTGTGTACAGATCCTTGCGACATGGGGTTGTGCATTATCATGCTGAAACATGAGGTGATGGCGGCGGATGAATGGCACGACAATGGGCCTCAGGATCTCGTCACAGTATCTCTGTGCATTCAAATTGCCATCCATAAAATGCAATTGTGCTTGTTGTCCATAGCTTATGCCTGCCCATACCATAACCCCACCACCGGGCAATCTCTTCACAATGTTGACATCAGCAAACCGCTCGCCCACACGCTGTCTGCCATCTGCCCGGTACAGCTGAAACCGGGATTCATCCGTGAAAAAGCACACTTCTCCAGCATGCCAGTGGCTATCGAAGGTGAGCATTTGCCCACTGAAGTCGGTTGCGACGCCGAACTGCAGTCAGATCAAGACCTTGGTGAGGACAACTAGCACGCAGATGAGCTTCCCTGATACGGTTTCTGACAGTTTGTGCAGAAATTATTCGGTTGTGCAAACCCACAGTTTCATCAGCTGTCTGGGTGGCTGGTCTCAGACGATCCTGCAGGTGAAGAATGTGAGGGCTGGGCATGGTTACATGTGCTCTGCGGTTGTGAAGCCAGTTGGACGTACTGCCAAATTCTGTAAACGATGTTGGAGGCGGCTTATGGTAGAGAAATTAACATTACATTCTCTGGCAACAGCTCTATTGGACATTCCTGCAGTCAGCATGCCAATTGCACGCATCTGTGGCATTGTGTTGTGTAACAAAACTGCACATTTTAGAGTGGCCTTTTATTGTCCCCAGCACAAGGTGCACCTGTGTAATGATCATGCTGTTTAATCAGCTTCTTGATATGCCACACCTGTAAGGTGGATCGATTATCTTGGCAAAGGAGAATGCTCACTAACAGGGATGTAAACACATTTGTGCACAACATTTTAGAGAAATAAGCTTTTTGTGCATATCTAACATTTCTGGGATCTTTTATTTCAGCTCATTAAACATGCAACCAACAATTTACATGTTGCATTGATATTTTTGTTCAGTGTAGATAGGATGGATGGTGGAACAAAGGTTGACACTTGCAACATCCATTGAATGCAGAGAAGATACATTTTTTTAGAATGAGTGAACTCACAGTGGACAGACTGACGATCTGTGTTCTCCAGGCGTCCCATGTACGACTGCACCTCCTGGATTTGCCTGATCAAAAAGGACAAAGAGCAAAGATATATAATTATTCCTCAAATATACTAGGCTACCATAAATATTAAACAGAGGTCTATATGGAAGCTCTATGGAAACATAATATTAGATACAGGTCTATGGAATACACAAGGAACTAGACAAAGTAGTATGTGGCAATTGAAAACACACGCTAGATACATACGTAAGCTAAAGACAGTGAATTCATTGCGCTTTCAAGACAACTAGAAAAAAAAAAATATATATATATATATATACACACACATACATATACAGTGAGGGAAAAAAGTATTTGATCCCCTGCTGATTTTGTACGTTTGCCCACTGACAAAGAAATGATCAGTCTATAATTTTAAATGGTAGGTTTATTTCAACAGTGAGAGACAGAATAACAACAAAAAAATGTTATAAATTGATTTGCATTTTAATGAGGGAAATAAGTATTTGGCCCCCTCTCAATCAGAAAGATTTCTGTCTCCCAGGTGTCTTTTATACAGGTAACGAGTAGAGATTAGGAGCACACTCTTAAAGGGAGTGCTCCTAATCTCAGTTTGTTACCTGTATAAAAGACACCTGTCCACAGAAGCAATCAATCAATCAGATTCCAAACTCTCCACCATGGCCAAGACCAAAGAGCTCTCCAAGGATGTCAGGGACAAGATTGTAGACCTACACAAGGCTGGAATGGGCTACAAGACCATCACCAAGCAGCTTGGTGAGAAGGTGACAACAGTTGGTGCGATTATTCGCAAATGGAAGAAACACAAAATAACTGTCAATCTCCCTCGGCCTGGGGCTCCATGCACGATCTCACCTCGTGGAGTTGCAATGATCATGAGAACGGTGAAGAATCAGCCCAGAACTACATGGGAGGATCTTGTCAATGATCTCAAGGCAGCTCGGACCATAGTCACCAAGAAAACAATTGGTAACACACTACGCCGTGAAGGACTGAAATCCTGCAGCGCCCGCAAGGTCCCCCTGCTCAAGAAAGCACATATACAGGCCCGTCTAAAGTTTGCCAATGAACATCTGAATGATTCAGAGGAGAACTGGGTGAAAGTGTTGTGGTCAGATGAGACCAAAATCGAGCTCTTTGGCATCAACTCAACTCGCCGTGTTTAGAGGAGGAGGAATGCTGCCTATGACCCCAAGAACACCATCCCCACCGTCAAACATGGAGGTGGAAACATTATGCTTTGGAGGTGTTTTTCTGCTAAGGGGACAGGACAATTTCACCGCATCAAAGCGACGATGGACAGCGCCATGTACCGTCAAATCTTGGGTGAGAACCTCCTTCCCTCAGCCAGTCCATTGAAAATGGGTCGTGGATGGGTATTCAAGCATGACAATGACCCAAAACACACGGCAAAGGCAACAAAGGAGTGGCTCAAGAAGAAGCACATTAAGGTCCTGGAGTGGCCTAGCCAGTCTCCAGACCTTAATCCCATAGAAAATCTGTGGAGGGAGCTGAAGGTTCGAGTTGCCAAATGTCAGCCTCGAAACCTTAATGATTTGGAGAAGATCCGCAAAGAGGAGTGGGACAAAATCCCTCCTGAGATGTGTGCAAACCTGGTGGCCAACTACAAGAAATGTCTGACCTCTGTGATTGCCAACAAGGGTTTTGCCACCAAGTACTAAGTCATGTTTTGCAGAGGGGTCAAATACTTATTTCCCTCATTAAAATGCAAATCAATTTATAAAATTTTTGACATGCGTTTTTCTGGATTTTGTTGTTCTTATTCTGTCTCTCACTGTTCAAATAAACCTACCTTTAAAATTATAGACTGATCATGTCTTTGTCAGTGGGCAAACGTACAAAATCAGCAGGGGATCAAATACTTTTTTTCCCTCACTGTATATTATATATGACGTCTGAGTTCAGTTTTGAACGCGGCGTACCGTTACAGTAGTGATAAGTTTAATATTGTTGGACATGGATCTATGGCTATCTATTAGTTGGTTAGCTAGCTAGTTTCCTGTTGACATCATGACCACTAATTGAAGGGGTTAGTTACAAATATATTTGTCATGAAATGACAGTGTCTGTTGTTAGCTAGCCAGCTAGTTACAAAAACGGTACGTCAAGGCAAGTGAGCTAGCTAGCTGACTGTTTTTTGAAAAGAGAACAGAAACACTCACTTATTTGTTTGATGGTACAATGTCTCCATTTTCCTTTATGTTTCAAGCCACAATCCACAAAAAATACCCTCGGTCTATAGAGGAATACCTTTAGCCGGTTTTATTCTGAAACTAAAAACAAGTGGATTTTTGTGCAATGCACACGTCATCAGTTGAGAAGATTTGTGTACGGAAATGGCATTACGGAAGTTCCACCGAGTGATTAAAGCCAAAGAACTGCTGCAGCGACACTACGAGGCAGGTACAGGTAGCTCGACAGCTCCAATCAAACATAATGTAGAAGCAGAACATTTAGGAAATAGGCTAAATACAATTATTTCAAGTTAATGCAATTTTATGCATATCATCATGTTTTCTCTCTTACCTTTCACTATCTTTCAACACTAAAATATGGCATGATAATAGCCTACATTTATGAAGTGGAAGTGAGCTTTCTAGATTTGAGTGATGCTTTTAAATCATGTTTCTATTTTGGTTCATTTGATGCTTAGACTACCATAACAAAAGTAAAAGACTTATTGAACTACATCAATTGTCAGCTTTGACATTAATGTCATATATCATACCCTTAAGCTGAATCACTGACAGTGTGCTTTCTGTTGAAACAAAAACCATCCTCTCCCCCTCAATCCGACCAGGGCTTGAGTGAGGCATAGGCTCATCTGTTGACGGGGAGACACATGTAACTGGAAAGACTTAATGAGAAGACGTCTCCAGGCGAAGTTTTGTCAGCTCACCCTGGCTTTGTCTAATTATCCCCTTTTCCACAGATTGGTGTCGGAATACACTTGTCTGTCCGTCCCAGATTCCCTCCTCTGCCCGCGGATACAGACATACCAACAATAATGATATCAAACTTTCCACGGGCAGATGAAATTGGGAGAAGTCACAAACGGCTGCACCCAGGATGAATGAGGATGAGGTAAGGTGTCAGATTGTTTGTTAAGCTGCCCATCAAATTCGCTCTCCCTTTCAATAAGTGTGTGAAACAGACGTGGTTTGATTTCTCAGAATTATGCTGTGACTGAGTGGTGTTTTTCCCCCCCTGAGATGTTAACAATGGATCCTTAGTGATCCAGAAGAGAGAATCATCCTGGGGCAATCCCTGGCACCCCTACAAAACCACACCTCACATCAGCTCTCTCTCTCTCCTACGCTCCATCAGCCTACCACTGGGGATGCATGAGGTTATAAGCAGAGCAGCAAACAAGTGCAGGTGTCCCATTGGTAGATACTATATGTTCAGGGGAATTGGCTCTTAATGTCTCTATAATGTGTTATTGTTTACCCCACACAGCACAACCGACCTATCATGAGAGAGATGGTTTGCTGAGCCTGTTGGTTGATGGTTGACACTTGTCTCTCCAGGCTACTTGCTTCTCAACAGAGGCCTGTTTTAACCCACCCCCACATGTCAAAAAACATGATTCCTGTTCAAGCCACTTCTTGCTCTTGCTGCTCACCATTTTCGGTTGTCATAACACCTCCCCAGGGCAGTGGTGGGATATGTGCAGTTTTAACATGTAGCTCAGACAAGTAGAGAAGGAGAGGAAGGGCCCCTATGAGCCCTTTGGCAGATTATGTGGGGCGTATTTGCCTCCCTTCTGAGGTCGTAGGGTCCTCACTGTCTGTCCTCTATCTTTCAGCCCTGGAGAAAGGAGGAGCAGAGCTTACCGGTCTTCCCCCCCACACCTGAGCACTACAGGCAGATACTGACACCTAGATTCCAGGTGTGGAGAATGCTCGCTTCACTCTGATTGACCAAGTCATCATCATGTGTCCGTTTCAACCCCGCTCCTGCTAAACTCCCCTATTCTGTTACGTTCAGCTCTCAATGTCATCAGTCACTGAACCCACCTATGGGGGAAAGAGCCAAAGAAGGACTGTGTAGGTAGGGTTGAATTAGGGTTTGTTGTTGAGGTTTTCAGGATAGGTCTAGTGTGAAGCTGGATGGTGGAGATGTTTAGCCCTGTGTGTGTGTGGCCCCTTTTCTGAACCAGCAGTAAGGCACCCTATTTCCTGATGCCAGGGCTGGACCCCTGGGGCTGTCAAAAGCAGTTTCCTGGAACTAGAGAGGATTTTGAGCCGGATCAGTCTCCCTCTCCTGGCTAGACACCATGGCAGCAGCACTGTTGTTAGGTGGAGGAACTCACCCGTCCCATTGAATGAGTCCCCTATGCCTTTGTTTTATACATAAAGGGAAAATGATATGTTATTAAATCACTTATATTTAATGCACTGAATGATCCTTCTCAGGCAAAATAATACATTATAACTCTACAATCATAGCCCCGGAGAGACAAAATGAAGAGCCCAATTATGAGGAGCTAAATTGCTTCAGGGCAACGATGTTTGGATACCAGTCATTTTTTGGAAGGCAACACTGATCTTCTCATTCTCCTGAGGGAAATGATCCGCTTGTCTTTGAAGCCGTGATGAGAGGTTGAATGATAGCAGATGAGTGCCTGTCAAATAGGAGAGGGAAAATTCATAAGGTCTATGGGGACCAAGGAGAGGGGTTCGACTGGCATTTGTTGCTGCTCTTTGGCTGTAATGGAGCACAGGGGTGAGAGAGCGCGCCCTCTCCTTCTCCCCCCCCCCCCCCCTCTCTCTCTCTACCTGCTGCCTTTCTGGCCTGAGAGAGCACAGGGAGCATGGATCATGCAGCTGTCAGCCTCACACACACACACACACACACACACACACAGCCCTGTGGCCATACCACCTAGGAGTGGTGACACCTGTCTCGGTGAGGATGAGAGATCACGTCCACCCCCATGACTGGATGACATGCCGTCCCCCTGCTCTCTGCTCTCCCAGGGAGAGAAGGTAAACAGCAACATGGCACAGAGAGGAGCACCATAGAGCACCTCACCAGGCTTCCCCTGCCTGCCAGTAGCATTACACAGAGTGACAGCTTCCGATCCACAGTCATGCACTAGGGTTTAACCACACTCTCATCATCAAGTCATACGTGTCAATGAGTCTTAAAATGTGGTTTTGGGAAAGTCAAAAGAAAAGATAGATGATAGATTGATGAATACTTTACTTGTGATACTGAAATGAATGAATTGGGGGAATTAGTTCTATGATGAAAATGTAGATATCAAAACTACCACTTTTATGTGTCCACGTATTTGATTATTATCCAATAACTTAGAGGTTATCACTAATTTCCCCACACAGCAGGAAATGCAAACTTGTATTTTCCACTTTAAAATGTCAGACTCGATTTGCCTTAATGAAAAATGTATCAACCCCTACAAAACATTTCCATTAATTATAATCCACATAATAATTCACATGTCCTGTTGCTGCAGGATTTTTTTCCTGCTGTAGCAAAATGGCTCAAATTAAGATCCTATATCTATACATGGGGTAATTTTTCTCTCAACAAATAATGTATTGCCAATCTTAGTTTCACAATCAAATATAATTTCAGGTGATACCACATGAATGTAAATATCCCATACAGTATGAATATATGTATGTTCATAGCACCACCAGATGTCATGTGTTGAGAACACAGAGCTCTGGACCTTATCTCTATTTTCCTGTTCTGGACTTTGTTGATCTGGGAAAGCTTTGTTTGTGCTTGTAATGGAGGTCAGGCCTACACTGTGTGTGTGTGTGTGTGTGTGTGTGTGTGTGTGTGTGTGTGTGTGTGTGTGTGTGTGTGTGTCAAATCAAATTTGATTTGTCACATGCGTCGAATACAACGGGTCTAGATTTAACCCGTGAAATGCTTGCTTACGAGCCCTTCCCAACGAGTTAAACAATTATAATAAGAAGGAAAATGGTAACACAAGAGGAATAAAATACACAAGAAATGAGCTATATACAGGGAGTACCAGTACCAGATCAATGTGCATAGGTATGAGATATTTGAGGTAGATATGTACATGAAGGCAGGGTAAAGGGACTAGGCATCAGGATGGATAATAATAAGAGTGAAATAAAGAACAGAGTAGCAGCAGCAGCATATTGTGTGTGTGTGTGTTGTGTCGGTATGTGTGTGTTTGTGTTGTCGGTATGCGTGTGTGTGTGTGTGCGTATGTAGTGTACAGTATGTGAATGTGTGAGGGTTTTGTGTGAGAGTGTCAATGTAGTGTGTGAGTGTGTATATATATTGTGCGCTGAGAGAAAGGGGGAGGCAGGGAGAGTCAGATAGGGAGGTATAGGGGGGCTTATCGTGGTCTCCTATCACCATAGCTGCAGTGCAATCAGCTGTGTTGGTGCTCCAGGTGTTCCCTCCACTGCAGCCATGGGGCTCATGGGAACAGCCTCCCCTACCAGTTTTCCCAGCCCTTAGCCAGCCCTCAGCAGCCCTCAGCCATGGAAGAAGGGATTGCCAAGGGCTTACAGATGTAGGATTTTAATTTGAGCCAGTTTGCTACAGCAGGAAAATAATCCTGCAGCAACAGGAAATGTGAATTATTATGTGGATTATAATTCATGGACATTTTTTGTAGGGGTTGATACATATTTCATGTGTGTGAAATGAATTCACTAAAGCAGTTCTTTTCATCTGTCCTGCATCATATCTACTGTCGATTTATGTTTCTCTCCTCTGTGTACTTGTCTCTGAGGTCTTGGCTCGGTCTCCAATGCACCGCATGGTCTCCCTCAGGGTGCCACTTCAACCCTGCACGGGAGGCTGTACTGTTTGAGACATGAAACTGTCAGAAAACAATGTCAGAAAACTCAGTGATACAAAACACAAACACAGCATAGGTATTCTCTCACGTGGGACTTTCATGAGTTCTACCTGTAGTTACCCTTACCCACCAACATAACACCTATTTGTACCCAAACTCCTCAACACCCTCCCAGTCAACCACCAGTAATAACTCCCCATCCAGCCACCTATACTTCAGTGGTAGGCCCCTCCATAGAGGTATGCACTCAGCCCTGTCATAGCTCTAGGCATTGCATGTTCTTGTTGTGGGTTGAGCAATTGCATTAGTCATTTCACATTCCAAATTCCTACCCCATGCCGTATTCCCCAACACTCTCTCTCTCTCCCTGCTTTCCTTCATAATCCATCTCTCTGTTCATCTCTTCATCACTTCCATTTTGCCAGGGCTTGGTAGGGTGTGGCCTGGTTTGGTGGTTTGGGCATACACACTGATGCTATCCTGCAGTACCCTCTACTTAGAGGAGGAAATGTGACTAGACTTTTGACCTGAGGGTTCAAATTACAGGAGGGGACCTTGCTATATGTATGTATGTATCCTGGAGCGAGGTACCTAGCTACCATAACCTGCTATGCTCCAGTTAACATCTGCTGTACTTGTACAAATAAGTAATATAGAAACCTGACAGCTATGTATGTTGCTACAGATAAGGGCATTCGCTAAGCAACGCAAATGTATCATACAAATACATGTATCAAAATGTCCAAGCCCAGAGCTCAATTAATCTTCATCCATCAGAGCATAGTCACCGCCCACTGAACCCGGCCAACACAGACACAAGGGATAGTGTTACTGACACATTGTGTATGTCATTCACGCCTCTGTTGTGTTTCAAGATGACAGTGAAGAGTTTGAGCCCATCCAGCCACCCGCACATGAACACTGGGACTATAAACACACACACACCACTCTCATTATGCTAACCACAGGTGTGCAAGGCGCAAACACACACATATGCAAAAACAATTATCTTCCCTCACCTTGCTGTTTTCAGTTTGCACATAGAAATACACTCACACACACTCACACACGCATGTTACCCCCCTCTGAAGCTCCCCAGACTCCCAACCCTGAGCAGCCTCAGTCCTGTTCCTGGGGGCTTGTGCGTGAGAAGATGGCAGTGGACTCAGCAGCCCCCTCCACTCAGGGCAGTGGGGGGAAATGAAGGCTTTAGGAGTTCATTATAAAACAACAACAGCAGCAGCAGGGGATCAGCCTCCTGGGCTCCAAACGATCCCCCTCTCATCCTTCCATCTACTTCTCTCTCTTTATGTTTCTCTCCATATCTCTCTTTCTCCCCTCGTCCGGCTCGCAGGTAAATGACACATTCTTCCATCTCGTTTTCTTGTTCTTGCGTTCCCGTCCTTTCTCTCTCTCTCCCTCTCCACCCCCCTCTTATTGTAAGCAATTATATGTAATAAAGGTAAATGCTGATAAACAGTCATTAGGTGGGGTCCTATATGAGTCAGCAGTCTGCTCATGTCAACCTGTGGCCTGTTGGATGTTTTAATAGAGCAGAGCTCATTATGTTAGAGCAGAGAATGTTAATGTCTAATCACTGTGATCAGAGATAAACATCAAAAGCTCCGGGACACGACACACTGTAAATGTAGCAATATCTCAAACAATAAGCCTCTGTGTGATTTGGTTCTCAGTGGAGAGCCTTCTCTCACAGGTATGAATTTTTCCTGTCTAATCATTAGCGTTAGATATGACCTTTAACCCTTTTCGAGGGGCGCACTGTATATTGAGGTCAAAGGCAAAAAACATCACTCTGTAGGAAACATTCTCATCATCTTGACATCATCATCATTATTGTTGTCATCATGGCTGGCCTGTTGTGCCAGAGGCAGAACACCTGTATGTGTGTTGCTCTCCTCCCCCTGTATGTGTTGGGCGGTTGGTGGTTGAGAGTGATGCTCTGAGACCACAGTCCTTTCAGATGAAAAGAAGGGCAGGGTAGCACGATCAGGAAGTGGTTTTGCTGGAGAGAAAGACTGCTCGCGTGTGGCGCTCAGGGCAGGTGTATGGCCGTGGCTTCTGTGACTGATTCTGTGATTGATGTTCACGTGTGTGTGTGAGAGAGAGAGAGACATACAGAGATATAGGGAAAGGGAGAGACAGAAATTGATCAGGATGAAAGAAAGCAAAGTTACTGCCAAAAGGCTCCCATGAGGGAAGGCAATACATATGTATACTTCATTTTAAGACAAGAAAGTAAAATATAGTAACAGGTAACAAGCGTGATCATTACTTATAGTAACTATAAATAGAGACATTTTTTTTTTTTTTTACAAATGTATATGTTCATTTATTTTTATTGCTTTTAAATAAGAATATACAGTATGTCACAATGTAAATCATATTGTTACAGTATACAGCTATGACCCAGTTTAAAGGAATTGTACATTGATCTAAAAGTTTGACTTTAGTTTCATGAGACACAAGGAAGTATTTGCAAGGCAAATACATCATTATGATAATTGCCCAAAGACCAGATGAGGTAGAGATATACGATTCCACTGTCTAATATGCTTTGAGCCTGGTATGAGTTATATACATGTACATAACTCTATATCTCTGCATAAACAAACAAAAATAAACACTGGCACAGGGAACTGAACAGATTGTAAAATATTTTAAACATAAATGGGTGCCTAAAAGCCCTAGGGGCAGACATGCACCTTTAACCCTAACCCATGGACAGACAGAGAGGTCTGGCGTGGAGAGCTGGAGGAATGGCGGAGTAAAATACTGCTATTTTCTCTGATTGGTAATTGAGAAAACAAGCAGCATGATTGGGCCATTTCAAAGACATTAGAGAACAAAGATGTGCCTGAATTAGACTGTAGAGAAAACGGTTTGATTTGGTCAGGGGAACACACTTGAAAGCACAGCACAGTGTGTGCAGACATGCCCACTTATAAATAAAAACAGAGTTCTTTACAGTGTCAGCAAAGGAAGAACTTTGTACAGTCTTTTTTATGGACAGTGTTTGGAGTTTCCCTTTGTTTGAGTGCTATTTCCTTTGCATTCTTCCTTTACTGTATTAACAATGTAAAACATGTAGTATTATCATAGACATTCTCACAAGAGACAACAGGTCTACTTTACCACACAATAACCCTAGACATACTAACTAGCTATGATTATAGGCAACCTGTACTAACATTCCATGTTCATACATCCAGTGATTCAATGGGACTTTTTAAGGTGTGTGGTGGATATCAGTATTGACCCATATATGTTTCTCACCTTAAAGCAAAGGAGTAAAGTACTATACATAACATAGCCAACATAAGTGCTTCATTTTTCTATTACGAATGAATGAACCCTTAGACTGCTCTCACAGCAAATAAAGAGACAAGCAAACAGCAAATGAGACAGACAGACGGACAGGGAGACAGGTGTCAAGAGGCTCTAGATTCCTTTTTGGCATTTTCTGCGGCTTTGGAAATGCTCTAAATCTTGATATAAGCATTACAGCATAGTAGCAGTTAGACAAACTGACTAAGGAACAGACCGACAAGAGGACAGGACCAATGGAACTGTCAGGGCTCCAACAGAGATGATGTCGCCAAATAATGATGGTGACCTACTGTCCATTCCAGTACCTTGTGAAGAGCCCATTCCCTGCTCATAACTGTCCAACAAGGCAACCCTCTCCCTCTCACTTAAGGTCTGTGATTTCAGTGCATTCAATAGGAGCAAAGCAGAAAGTGGTCTTGATACTGCCTCATTTGAGGAGACAGCGCATGTTCGATTCCAACAAGTGGCAACCTACCAACAACATTATGACCTTGTTCCATTTCCATGCTTCCCAAAACAGTTCTCAGTTCAGAACAGGCATCTGTAAGGGTATGTTTAAAAGTCAAACCCTTCAATTTATCAAGAGTAATGTCTTTGAGTAGTTCTAGTTCCGCCATTTTGAATGTTCTCTCAGTGTGTTGCCGTTTTCCTCTCCCCATCTTTTCTCTCTCTGTCTCTATCTCTCCCCCTTTTCAGGTATTTTTGCAGGTGTACACTTCCTCCTCCCTGACACAGGTTTGACACTCTACATGGCAGCACCAGCGCACCTGGCAGTGGCAGGAGAGGGTGGTGAGGTGCATGGCCGTGTTGTAGCCGCGCCCGCAGCACAGGCTCTGGCAGCTGGTGTCCTTGGCACAGGAGCGTCCGGCCGTGCCGGGGGAGTAGCGTGACTGCCTGCAGAAGCTGGGGGATTCCTCCAGGAACACCAGGTCAGTGGAGCGGTGGCTCTGGCCGTGGCGACGCGGCCCCGCCAGCTCCGTCTCCCCGGTAGCCGTGTTGGTGACGCTCAGCACACGCACGGCAGTGTCGTAGCGGAACTTGAGCAGCCGCCCAGTGTCGTGGAACGGGGACAGTTGCTTCCAGCAGGTCCGCACGGCACAGGAACCGGAGACGCCGTGACACTTACAGGTAGTCTTCAGGCCACTCTTCACTGCCTGAAAGGGAAGGAGGGGGGAAAGGAGGGGGAGGGGAAGAGAGTGAGATGTCAGTTTCTTCAGTCTGATTCATTAGCTGGGCTCTTATCTTTGGTGCCTGATGGTCTGGGGCTAGTCATCCTTTAGCTCAGCTCAGTCCGAATGGTTGAGATGATGGATTAGGGAGACTGTTCGGCATGCAGTATTTCATTCACCTGACGTCTCGCATTTAGACAGAGCCTGCGGATTCGGTTTTTCAATGTGTTGAAACTAGCTCTTTTTCACTGCTTCTCTCCTGTCTCTCCTATGAAGCCTGAGGCGTTAGAGACAGGCAGCACAGACAGCAGAATCTCTCCACCCTGTTCTTTGTGTGTGCATGCACGGAAAACGATGATAATAGTTTAAAAAGCTTAAACAGTGAGATGGGGAGAGAGTTTGGGTTAGTGGCCAAAGGATGGGACCCTGCCTTCGTTAAAAAGTTCACTGAGCTTGGTGGTGGTGTGGTGAGGGGTGGGGTGGGGGTACCAGTGCTGAGGCACTCAGCCAGAGAGACTCTAATTGGGTGGGGGCCAGAGACAGGTCATGTGGCATGGGGGTCATCCTTACGGGGAGGGGGGAGACCCAGGGGCTACTTCAGGGTTGAAGAGTTCTGCCGCGTTCCGCCCTACACAGGTATGAACCCCTCAGGGGCATCTCAAAACATTACTGAGGGATAAGGGTTGGGGGGGGGGTGGAAAAACCAGCCACCTCCTGGTCTCTACTGAGCCGTATAGGTGGAAGGTGAGGAAAACACCAAACTCAATAAAGATAAGATAAGATAGACTACTTCAGGTCATCCTGTTGTTTTTCTCTCTCTCTCCCTCTTTCTCTCTCTCCTTCTCTGAAGGGTCTGCTGCCTCAGGTGAAAGGTAAAGGGGAAGAGCCTTGGGGCTGGCTGTTTCTAAGCTACACACACAAACACACACATAGTGGTTACCGTATGAACATTATGTGGATTTATGGAGAGGAGCACAGTTCAGCGCCATACAGTATGTGGAAAAAATGCTCGCTCGTATATTAAAAGAGGCCACAATTATAATCGTTCTCTCTGACGGGAGACCTTTAATTTTCTGTGGACCCGCACAGCAAGCTTTATCATGCCTGCCTAGGAACACCTGGCTCCAGGGATCTGACAGCAGTCTGTCTCCTATCCCTGTTACTAGCTGCCTCCACCAGCTATCTATCCACCAGGGCTACAGGAAGGGAGACACCATGCATGGGGAGTGGACTACTGGCACTGGATGAGATATATGGGCGAGGAGTCAGGGCGAGACATGGTAAAGTCACACAGTCCCTGCCGCCTCGGTTGGAAGAGTGCATTGTATGATAAGCAGTGTTGGGGTTATCTTTGGCTGGTGGGTCTAAAATGGATGCTGTTATTGGCTAATATGTTTATGATGCTCTCCTGAGCTTGGGAGGAAACTACTCACTACTGGCATAGTCTTATATCTTTCTTTTTGAAATAAATGTACTTAAGCCACAATAGTGTCACTCACAATTGCTTAATGGGCATCTTGTTGTTTTGCTTGAGCTTATCCACACGTCAACACTCACTCACCCGGATTCCAACGTTCATGTTGTGGGAGTCGATCTGCGCCCTCAGGTCTTTGCTGACCCTCTTCTGGCCCAAGAACTTCTTGAGAAATTTGGTGCTGTATTTCAAGTTGTCACCGCAGACCCCCCACTGCCATGCCTCGCGATGCTGTATTCCTGGGGAGTCATCGCACGTGCACCTCTCCATTCGGCCTGAGCTGCAAGCCTTTGCTAGTGCGTGGGACAATGCCGCTGAAGACACCGCAAGAAGAAAGGCCGTCTCCTTGAAGCCTGGAATAGACAAATGATATCAACAATTAATAATAGGCTACCATACATTTTTATTTATTTATTTTTTTGAATTTCGTTTACTCCTCGTAAATTGGCTAGGCCCAGACATGCAAAGACTAGACTATCATCCAAGCTCATTAGATACATATTTAGGTTACATTCTACTCCCATGTTTCTACTCCAGTGTTCCATTTAAAGAGTTGTGTCATGATTCCTCTTCTGACCGTTCCCGGTGGTTTGGTTATTTGCTTAGCCCAGAGACATCGCTATGGTGTATTTTGATCCAATTAATTATTATTTTGACTAGGAAGGATTTTTTTCCCAGATGAAAGTGAGTAATCACGCCGCCCTTTTCCTCTGGGAACTGGGCGCTTTTCCGAGATAAAAATAACCACTGGGCCCCCATAGGCTCCGCCGCACCGGGCTTTTTGGCTCTCTAGCCCTTAATTAACTCCATGCTGACCTGTTCATGGTTCTTCGTGCTGATAGCATACCCATGCTCTAAAAGTATTTTATAAGGGGTGGCGCGTTAGCTGCTATAGTAGGCTATACAGTGAGGGAAAAAAGTATTTGATCCTCTGCTGATTTTGTACGTTTGCCCACTGACAAAGACATGATCAGTCTATAATTTTAATGGTAGGTTTATTTGAACAGTGAGAGACAGAATAACAACAACAAAATCCAGAAAAACGCATGTCAAAAATGTTATAAATTGATTTGCATTTTAATGAGGGAAATAAGTATTTGACCCCTCTGCAAAACATTACTTAGTACTTGGTGGAAAAACACTTGTTGGCAATCACAGAGGTCAGACGTTTCTTGTAGTTGGCCACCAGGTTTGCACACATCTCAGGAGGGATTTTGTCCCACTCCTCTTTGCAGATATTCTCCAAGTCATTAAGGTTTCGAGGCTGACGTTTGGCAACTCGAACCTTCAGCTCCCTCCACAGATTTTCTATGGGATTAAGGTCTGGAGACTGGCTAGGCCACTCCAGGACCTTAATGTGCTTTTTCTTGAGCCACTTTTTTGTTGCCTTGGCCGTGTGTTTTGGGTCATTGTCATGCTGGAATACCCATCCATGACCCATTTTCAATGCCCTGGCTGAGGGAAGGAGGTTCTCACCCAAGATATGACGGTACATAGCCCCATCCATCTTCCCTTTGATGCGGTGAAGTTGTCCTGTCCCCTTAGCAGAAAAACACCCCCAAAGCATAAGGTTTCCACCTCCATGTTTGACAGTAGGGATGGTGTTCTTGGAGTCATAGGCAGCATTCCTCCTCCTCCAAACACGGCGAGTTGAGTTGATGGAAAGAGCTCGATTTTGGTCTCATCTGACCACAACACTTTCACCCAGTTCTCCTCTGAATTATTCAGATGTTCATTGGCAAACTTCAGACGGGCCTGTATATGTGCTTTCTTGAGCAGTGGGACCTTGCGGGCGCTGCAGGATTTCAGTCCTTCACGGCGTAGTGTGTTACCAATTGTTTTCTTGGTGACTATAGTCCCAGCTGCCTTGAGATCATTGACAAGATCCTCCTGTGTAGTTCTTGGCTGATTCCTCATCGTTCTCATGATCATTGCAACTCCACGAGGTGAGAGCTTGCATGGAGCCCCAGGCCAAGGGAGATTGACAGTTCTTTTGTGTTTCTTCCATTTGCGAATAATCACACCAACTGTTGTCACCTTCTCACCAAGCTGCTTGGCGATGGTTTTGTAGCCCATTCCAGCCTTGTGTAGATCTACAATCTTGTCCCTGACATCCTTGGAGAGCGCTTTGGTCTTGGCCATGGTGGAGAGTTTGGAATCTGATTGATTGATTGCTTCTGTGGACAGGTGTCTTTTATACAGGTAACAAACTGAGATTAGGAGCACTCCCTTTAAGAGTGTGCTCCTAATCTCAGCTCGTTACCTGTATAAAAGACACCTGGGAGCCAGAAATCTTTCTGATTGAGAGGGGGTCAAATACTTATTTCCCTCATTAAAATGCAAATCAATTTATAACATTTTTGACATGCGTTTTTCTGGATTATTTTGTTGTTATTCTGTCTCTCACTGTTCAAATAAACCTACCATTAAGATTATAGACTGATCATGTCTTTGTCAGTGGGCAAACGTACAAAATCAGCAGGGGATCAAATACTTTTTTCCCTCACTGTATAGTTTAGCCTGGCTCTTTATTTTGAGATCACTCACCTACCACACAGCAGTCAATTTATAAATTAAAAATACTTCAATTTTCAATCAATTGCATTATTGCACTTGAGAAATCCTTTGCATCATCAAGTAGTAATTTGACCCTTACAATATTCACAACACAACAGCAGTCTAGGCTATTAGGCCTACATATTTGCATGCTTCGCATGATGCTTCCCATGATGCGTCCATCCAGATAGAAATCTTTCCCTCATATCTCTCTGTGTGTAAATACATGCAACTCTATGAATTGATGACATATTATTGCACCTCTTTTCAGAAGACTCCCGCGGCCGTCCAAGCTACAGTTCCAGCGCTCGTTCCGGAATTGATAGCGGCACTCCAAGAGGCTGAGGCGCACTGATTCACGCAGCGTCTCCGCCAAACCCGGCTCGCGGCGACACAGTCGTTTCTGCCTACGGGTCAGGGTCATCTGCTCGCATTGTTTCAGGTGAGCTTTTCCCGTTGGAGGTTCATTGGAGAACGGCGCAGGCAAAAAGACCAAGGGCTCTCGGCCTGTCAGCCTTTCAAAGGAGACAAATGTATACATTCAGTGCAGTATAGCAGTTATCACTGACGTTACCAAATTCAAAAGGAAAATGTCATATAAATCGTCTTATCAAGAGAATATAAACATGTAGACCTATAAATAATACCCAACGTTATGGTGGTCCTGAAAATAAAGAAAACATGTTGTTCGAGACTAATTTCTATAACATGTCCAAAATAATTACATTTTGTTTATAGAGCCATAGCCTATACATTTAAAAAATATGTATAGTTTTTGCTGACTGTACACGTTTTAAACAACACACTACACATAGGACTACGCGCAATTAAGTATAAACGTAGTAAATCATATCAAAATGTCTGAATTTGGTTCCAAAGTAAAACTACCCACATGCGCCCAATAAAACCACACAATAATGCTAAAAAAGGAATCTGAGTGTAGGTTTCTAATTTTAAAATAAAATATGAGTACAAATCTGTTTATGCATTCAAGTTAGCTCCCTCATACACATTTTGGCTTTTGCCAAAAAGTGAGAGAATTGAGGTGGTGCCAAACTCGAGAGGTCAGGAAACAGTGAGAAACCACTCACACTCACAGCAAGTCATATATTATTCAAAGGCTATGTTCAATATTCAAATATTCTGCTCTGAGACTTATTTAGCAAATTAATAATAATCAATAATATTATCATAATATGTAGTGGTATTATAAGGCTGTAGGCCTATTTTAAAAATGGTCACATAGCCTGGGAAACTAGCCTACTTTGTTTACTTTTAGATACCAGAAAAATGCAAACATAAATCATCTCTGTGGACTTGAACATCCAAACAAGTCGACAGCAACAGTCCTACATTAAGGTATCGTGCGTAATTGCGCACGATAGTCATGGAACGTTGGGCTTCCATCATATAGGCAGGCTATGTACATCGCATCACATGCATTATTTCTTACCGACATCGATCTGCTGTGTTTGTTAGAAGCAAGGAAAAGACAATAAAACTGCAGAGACATTACAGTAAAAGAGTTGTGGCTGACCCAAAATATGCTGCAGTGTGCGAGAGGAGGATGCAGATCGCAATGAGTCGCAGTAGGCAGGCGGTCCTTGGGAGCCTAGAGCACATGATGACGGGTCGACGCTGCTCTTCATCTCGCTGATTCTGCACTGGGAAAGTCTGTGCCGTCTGGCAGGCTCACCTCCTAAGTGGCCCACACAAACTTCGGTCCACTGCAGCAGGCGCGATCCCAAGGGAGGCAAGGCCTCTGGGGAGCGCATCATCGCGCCACACGCCCATTGGACTCCCTAACCGCCCCGCCCCTAACCATTGAAACGCCACCCACTTAGATGGAAATGACAGGTAGGATGTCTACCTGGCTGTGATGAGCTTTTGTCATTATCGTGCCTCATATTCAAACTTGCTGGTGCATTTTCATTCTACCCACTGACATATCTACTGTTCCATGTTTATGGTGGATACACCAGTGGCAAGTGTATGGGCATATACCAGAATAACTATAGGCTATAGGATGTGGCTGGCTATAGAATGCCAATAACCAAGTGTGCTCCTTTAAGAAGGTATGTGGCTGGCTGAGAAGGTAGACATAGCCTACAAATAGAAACATGCAGATACACTTGTTATAGCAAAAATGGATCATGGATCTTGGATTATAGGCATAGGATTACATAACATCTACTAGGCAAAAAATCATTTTATACAGTTGGCTCTCCACCATCACTTGCTTACTATTTTCCATTGCGAGCAAAGACTCGCTGATGGTCTGTCTCATTCTTGATAACTCTATTTTAATTTTGGTCATACAAACCACCAAGCCTCCAATCTAATTTTCTCTACCTAACAGTGCTTTTTCTTTGATTCTTACTTACTGTTTCATACCAGCAGGGAAAAAACGTCTATAATTATATTTTTGTACTGAAATGGATTACCTCTTTATTTTGTAATATATTTATACTAACGTGGGCACTTGACCAAACACCTGCAGGGAGAAGCAACACATTGTGGGACAGACAGCCCTCCTCAACACACAAACTAATAACAAGTGGCATGCCCTCTGCCCACTGCCTAGTCACAGTGAATAAGACATTACTGTATAACAACACATAGACAAACATCAACAATAAGCTTTTTTTTTTTAATGTAATGCATCTCAAGGCTTATACCCCCCTAATTATTGGATATTCTGTGCTTCATGACACCTCTAGATATAGCTGCCTACCACCCGTGATGTCTCAGTCCATAGACCATTTTCATATAAAATCAATTTTATTCACTTCATGTCCAACAGTAACAACAACAACAACTCTGGTTTACAATCACCATGTGGATGAATGGGTAATCAAATATCTAGTTGTCTGCTCAGTGTGGCACCTGCATAACTGTGGGAACCGGACAACCAGCTAAATTAGATAACCATGAGCACAAACACATGAAAGGTGGACAAACTTCCACCTGATGATATTGCACTCTCATAGGCCTAGGGCTATGCATATAATTTCAGAGTGGTTGACTTATGGAAATGATTTGCTTTGACTTATTGGGACATTATGACCGCAGCACAGAGACGGTCCCATCTAGTGGATTTAACATGAACAACACACATTGTGAGCCTTTTGAATGACCCCCAACAACCTTGATGAACGCTTGAACCCTGATGCACCTTGAACCTCGCAACCCACTTCTCCCCTCTGCCCGCTTCCAGGGGCCCCCCCAACTCCAGGTTACCTGTTGGCCCTATAGACCTAGCTGTCATTGTAGACCTTGCATGTCAGTGTTGGCCATAGAGATCCCATTAAATTACTTAATTAGTATTCTAATTCCTAATTCTATGGTGTTGGCTCTTACTCTTTCAGGCTGTTTAAAAGATGAATGACTGAAACAGGCTGGAATTCTTGGATCAGAAATGTAAATTGTAGGCTGTTGCCTATTGATTGAGATGATGATCTCTATGACATTATAGGCAACTAGCCTAGCCATAAGGCCAATAAGGCAGCACTTGCTTTCCATATCCAATGTAAGGCTATACACACCCATGGTCCTGTAATTTCCTGACGTTTTATTTTCTTCTGGATTGAACAATTGCAACCGGATTGTTTTGTTTGCTATCCTTCCCAATGATGATGGGTTGGGCCAGTGGCACATTTCTTCAGTCTCCATTGAAGCCGGAAACATGGGGCGGGGAAGAGTCGGGGATGCTTGATCCTACGGGAAGTTTGACTGCTCTTTCAGTTTGTAGGGCAAACTGGAGGAGGGCTTTTTGTAAATCTCCGCCCTCAACATTAAATGTTGTGCATCGATTGGTCCGTAGCACGGCAAGGTGGGTTTTTGTGACTTGCATAGATAACATGATTGGTGAAGAATTTACGATGTGCAACGTCCATGACGCGGCTTTCTTGACACTTGTGAAAGACGCCATTTTGTAGTTAGCGGTGAATAGGAGCGTAAAAGAAAGATCGAGAAGCGCCACTAAAAGGTAAAATGTAGCAATATAAGATATGTCATTTCTAGTCTTCTTTATTTTCATGTATCTGGAATGTAAACAATTGCTTATTTGCTTTTGGCTTGACCGCAAACTTTGACACCGAATCCCCTGCGTAGACTCAAGCGAGGATCATCTGCCATCATTAGCTAGCTAGGCTAGCTCGCCCGGCATCATATTCTCACGACCTGTAAAAGTCGCGAGAGCATTATTCAGCTAACTGTTAACGTTCTGAAATTGTGTCCGTAAGTATTCGCTGGTCATTGTGATTGGACATTTTGCATCGTCCTATTTTGACAGTCATTATGTCGAGCCGCTTACTTGTGCTAACTTGCTAACGACGTTAGCAAAATTGACGTTAGCTAGCTGGCTAGCTACGCCTATTTTCTGACTGCGTAACGTTAATTTACGTCGATTGAGATTTGGATCGTCCGCCGCTTATTAACTAGCTAACCGACTTTAAACACGTCTCTAAATGAATGTAGTTAACCAGCCTGTGGGTTAAATGGTAAGGTAACTTGGACGTGGTGGTCTCTACGGCCTTCTAGCTGGGTAACTAAGCTGTGCTGGGAAGCTTTAGCTAGCGTAGCTGTTGGTATTGGATGGTTAGATTTGGTTTTGTAAATTGTTGTCAGTGTCTTCAAACTAAAGCGGTCACATGGTTAGTCACTAGCTAGTGAGTTACAAATTAATGTAGCTAACGAGCTAAACCCTTATGTTAGACCCAAGTAATTTTAATGGACAGACAACTGAAGCAGAATAGTGTGTGTGAGAGAGATACATACATAGCTACACACATCTTTGTGTTATGACTGCGAGACCCATGTCTCTGTCTTCCATACATTTCTATTTTCAAACATTGAGTTCTCCAGGAATCGCAGTTGCTAATTTCCCTCCTTTGTTCAGGTCCTGATGAGGGGCTGATCAAACAACCAGTGGAACAGGTTAACCCCAGCATGCCTGACGTTTCAACTTTCCCTTATGGAAAAACATTTCTGGACTTAACAGAAAAATGCCCACTATTTGCCTGTCCAACCAGAAAATTAGCCTCCTCGATGCCCCTAGTCTTACCTCAATATTAATGTGACTCACTAGCTCAGCCTTCAACTGTGCATACATACATCTGATGCAGATAATGGTTTTCAAAGATTTTTCAGGACAAGAGAAAAGTCCCTCCCTCTCCCACATTGGCATTCTAGTGAAGGTCATAGGGATGATGTGTGTTTGATAGATTTTTCAGCTCAAGAATGAATTGAAGAAATAGGCTATGCTACACATAGTGTACTGTATGTAGTAGGCTTTACATCACATGCCCCACCCCCTTGTCGTTTGGCCTGTCAATTATTAATCCACATTGGCTCTGCTGAATTTTTAATGAGCATCTCCTTTGGTAACTGACACCTCTGTTAGAACCCCTTAACACTGACTGCCGATGCACCCCAAAAAGACTCCGCTTCAGGCAGCCTATATCACATGCATACTGTGATAAGTTCACTTAACTTCTCTCTGATGACTTGTTGCTGGCCTCCCATACCCGTCCCCCCCATAATTCCTGTTTCCTCAGAGGATGAAGCATTTTGAGCACTTCCTCTTTACTTTAGTTGAGGAACAGGATGGACAATCCTGATTCAAATGAGCTGTCAAGTCATTGTTGTGATGTCATTGTTAGAAATCTGCAAGCTATGAGCTTTTCTAGTTCTGAAACTCCCCTCTGTGGAATGTCTATTGGCTAGATTAGTTGTCACATTCTGAATCAAGGAAGGCACTTTGTGAAACTGACATCTGCCAGTATTGATGATGTTCAAACTCAAATCACACCCCTCCTAGCTTTTGTTTGCCTACAGTCGTTGTATAGTGGATTTCAGAGCTGCCAGGGCGTGTGTCATATTTAAATGGATTTGGCATGTTTCCACTGAAGAATGCCATTATGAATTATGTTAATTAGTCTACCATTTGCCACACAATTGTCTTGAAGGAGTCTAATAGTAATACTACTGTGTTGGTGTTATCTTATGCATTTCATTCACAGGCATGTGTTAGTGGGAGGGTTTTTGCACAAGATCAGTTGTGTAGCAATATTTTCCATTATTTTAGAAGTAATTATTGTCCTTTGGAGAAAGACTTGAGTGTTCAATAGCCTATTTGGTGTGACAGGATCATTGTTTCCCTGTATCTCTCCTGGTTAATTCAGCAGTGTCTCTGCTTACAGTTGTGTTGTTACCTGTCCCATATCCAGCCTCTAGTACTCTGGTTCCTCTTTCCTCTGAGCGCTGACCTATATTCGCCACATCACTGGCCTCATTGTGTGCTTTTCCTTGAGCTCAGCCTGCCTGCTCTTATTGTTTCACCTACAACACCTGAATGGGTTGTTTATACTGCAGTCCCACTGTCCCCTACTCTTGTCCACTTTGTATTAAGACTGCTTACTTGTCTCAAATATGAATCTGTTTTTGTCATAGTGTTTAGGGTACAAATAGCCTTGAAGCGTATTTTTCTGAAGTGAGCCTGTTTCATCATAGGCCGTGTCTTAAATCACTTGATTCTGTGATGTGCTTGGCAACATACTGAATAATGTGAAGGATTGTTATTGCAATCAATATGCCTAATTCAAAATGAATGTCGACAATTGATATATTTGTGGGTCGTTCCATGAAAAGAGTGCCTATTGCATCCCTTTGATATTTTAAGTAGAAATTCTGCACCAATATTGGATTTTAAAAGCCTGTTATATTAAATGCGGTGCCATTTAATATTATAAACCACATGGAGAATTCAATCAATCTGCCAAAGTTCCAAAATTCAGCAGGATTTTAATCCATGACGGCGTAGTGTGTTACTAAGGTTTTCTTTGAGACTGTGGTCCCAGCTCTCTTCAGGTCATTGACCAGGTCCTGCCGTGTAGTTCTGGGCTGATCCCTCACCTTCCTCATGATCGTTGATGCCCCACGAGGTGAGATCTTGCATGGAGCCCCAGACCGAGGGTGATTGCCGTCATCTTGAACTTCTTCCATTTTCTAATAATTGCGCCAACAGTTGTTGCCTTCTCACCAAGCTGCTTGCCTATTGTCCTGTAGCCCATCCCAGCCTTGTGCAGGTCTACAATTTTATCCCTGATGTCCTTACACAGCTCTCTGGTCTTGGCCATTGTGGAGAGGTTGGAGTCTGTTTGATTGTGTGGACAGGTGTCTTTTATACAGGTAACGAGTTCAAACAGGTGCAGTTAATACAGGTAATGAGTGGAGAAGAGGAGGGCTTCTTAAAGAAAAACTAACAGGTCTGTGAGAGCTGGAATTCTTACTGGTTGGTAGGTGATCAAATACTTATGTCATGCAATAAAATGCAAATTAATTACTTAAAAATCATACAATGTGATTTTCTGGATCTTTGTTTTAGATTCCGTCTCTCACAGTTGAAGTGTACCTATGATAAAAATTACAGACCTCTACATGCTTTGTAAGTAGGAAAACCTGCAAAATCGGCAGTGTATCAAATACTTGTTCTCCCCACTGTATGTCTGTCCCTCAACACTGTTATGTGAACTGAACTCTCGTTTTAATATGGTGACACTGTCTTTACATTTTTTTTTTCTCCCAAATTAACTTTGAACATCTAATAGTCAAATCATAGAGTAAAAACAGGTGAGCTGGTTCTACTCTTTTTGGCCAGTTATTGTGGTGGAAAACTGAGAGGGTCGAGCATAACATGTCAACCCTGTTACCCATAGACTAGAAATGTAACAAGTAATTTTTTTGTGTGAAGCTTGTATTCAATTGCCACTCCCTGTTGCACACAAGTTTTCGTGACAGTTTCCCTGTCACAAGTGGATTTATGGCAGATTTTAAGAAAAACCCTGTTACTTTATTTGGCACTTAATAGGCACTTAATATAGTAATTTATTTTTAGATGGGAAAATGTGTTTTTTATGAAGTTGAACATGTGCTCTTTATGACAGAATGTTAAAATTAGGTGAAATCAAAAGTTGTTTGACTAAGTTACACTTATCTAAAGGCACCAAATTGGTGGAAAGACCCGTGTACATTTTGAAACGCATTTCAACAGTGAGAGAGTTATATAGAAAAAAAACATGAATTAGTTCTATGGTATTAGACATGTATGTAGGCTACTATTTGGGACTGACTGGGCTATTATATTCTAATCGTTGTGGATGATGTAACAGAGCCTGTTTGTGTTCTTGCCTGGTGGGTGTTGGGCAATAGGTGTTCAGGTGGAGCTATGTTGTAACCAGTCTCTAACCCTGGATCATGTCTCTGGTCTGTGCTCTGCCAGTCATGTGATCCACTTCTCTGCTCCTGGCTATGAGTAAACAGTTGCCTGCCACTCAGAACAACACTGACCTGCAGCCCCATCAGCAAAGTCCTGCTCGTGTGTGGTGTGTGAGACCCAGAGGCGCCGCTGTGAGGGCCCATTGTTAAGACGCAAAATAAACACAGACCGGGACTGAATGCATTTCTCAGCACTTTTTCTCCCCCTCATGAATTTACACTCTAATATGGTTGCCCTTTATCAGAGATAAGGAAGTTTACCCTGACATTATTACCCTCACAGGTCAAAAATCTTTATGAAATTACCAAGGATGGGAATCTGTATTTACATTTATAAATTGGTTAATAAAAAATTCTGGTTTTACACCGATCCCACACCACCCACATTGCATGCGGGAGCTGTGCAGAATATTTTAAAGTTGACATGTTAATCAATTATTTCATCCAAACTGCTCACATGCGTCAGCGAGCATTTGTGTTACCGAACACATGTGGACGCACACACACGCGGCCGGTTTAGCCTGGTGTTAGGCGCAATGAATGTTGTACGACTACTAGCCTAACCATTTTTTTTCTGTCTCCCTTCCTCCAGATTAGCCAAGATGGGGAACATGTTTGCAGGCCTGTTTAAGAATCTCTTTGGTAAAAAAGAGATGAGGATTCTGATGGTGGGGCTGGATGCTGCCGGCAAGACCACCATCCTATACAAGCTCAAACTGGGAGAGATCGTCACCACAATCCCTACCATCGGTGAGTAGCCTAGCCTAGACTTATCCACCTTACCTCTCTCGTCACACACTCCTCACGTCCCAGAAACAAAGCCCCCCTGAAATGCTCCCTATAGCTCCTCCAATTCCTTGGTCCAGATTGTGTTTTCATGCTGTCTAGGCTCCTTTTTGTTTAGTTGTAGGGGAGTGGAAATGAATCTCATATAAGTACAGCCATGTACTCCCTCTGTCCCCATCTCCTCCTCATCCTAGCCACTGGATCACTGCTCAATGCCCAAGGCCTAGAGTTTAAGATTCTTGGACCCGCCCCTGACATCAGCTGCAGCTCCTCTGGCTCAGTGATAGGTTAATAAGGAATGGGGCTTTAAGCCCCCAACATTCCCTTTACATGATGTTCTTTAGGAAGTACGGGCTGATGACATTTCATATTCCAGTAGATGTTCATTCACTTTGCATATTTTCTTCAAATATACATTTTGATTTGCAGCAGCATTCAGGCAAAGACATTTCATGCATACATTTATGATGTTAAGGGAGTGACTTAGATTGCCTGTTTGGGATTGCTGATATCTCCTCTCACACAGCTTCTTGGAATGTTAGTGTCTTAGGTCGCTGACGTAACTGATCTTCCATATTGCCATTTGTCTGTAAGTTTAAGTGGATGTTACAGACATAGCTTTCAGTACAGTTTTAAAACGTTGAGACTGTAGAATACAAGAACATCAGCTTTACAGTGTGGGATGTGGGCGGTCAGGACAAGATCAGGCCTCTGTGGCGGCACTACTTCCAGAACACCCAAGGTGAGTGGACACTGTCACCAGAACCCCCTCAGCACCATCTTCATTCTTTCTGACTTTTTGAGTTGGGACTGTCCCGGGTAAATGTTCCTATTTTCCTCACCCTCTGTCCTTTCTCTCCCTCTGCTTGTCAGGTCTGATCTTTGTGGTGGACAGTAATGATAGGGAGAGAGTGAACGAGGCGCGGGAGGAGCTGACAAGATGCTGGCTGAGGACGAGCTGAGGGACGCCGTGCTGCTTGTGTTCGCTAACAAACAGGTGAACTGACTAACTGGGGAGAGACACTAGGGCATCGGGAAAACAGTAGGTTTTTTACCTGCTACAATGGACGTGTAAATTTAGCTTGACGCGTAAAATGTGAGCCACTTAAATCAAGTGTTCTTGGCATGAGCCTTGCATCAAATTCTTTAAAATAAATGTTACACTGAGCAGAGTGAGAATCTAACAAACAGGTTAGCCCACAACACTAAGGTTGCGTTTACACAGGCAGACCAATTTTGATAATTTTTCCACTAATTGGTCTTTTGACCAATCAGATCAGATATTTTGACACTAATTGTGCAAAAGATCAGAATTGGGCTGCCTGTGTTAACGCAGCCCAAGATATCACTAGTAAACTGCATCTGGAATTGGTAGTACAGTATTGTTATTCATATGGTTTGCAGATACTAGTAGTTAAACTCAAGGTCATACAATGGACTCCCTCTATACTAAGATGGCTTGTGAAGGTCTTTTGCAGATGCATGTTTTCCTGGGTTAACCCTTTTCTGTCCATCTCTCCACTCTTCAGGACCTCCCCAACGCTATGAACGCAGCGGAGATCACAGACAAGCTGGGCCTGCACTCCCTGCGCCAGCGTAACTGGTACATCCAGGCCACCTGCGCTACCAGCGGGGACGGTCTCTACGAGGGCCTCGACTGGCTCTCCAACCAGCTGAAGAACGCAAAATGATCCACCATTCCACCGTCTGTCTGCCGTCTGCGTCTTTGTCTGCGCAGTGTGTTATGGGCGACAGCGCTGGTCCCAGCCCCCTCTCTCTCCTCCCGTCTCTCTCACTCCATCTCCTCGAACCATTGGGGCTTTGACCAGTGCTACCCCGCATATGCGTGTGACTGCAAGTGTTTGGGTGGTTCTTAATGTGTATGTGTGGGTGCATGTGTGTGAGCCGGGAGTGGGAGCAGCCCTGCTGTGCCTTCAAAAGAGTCACTCTCACCTGTGGAAATGACAGCATGGCTAACTCTCTAGCACCTCCTCCCATCCCTCCCCTCCTGCCCCACCCTCAGCGGCTCTTAAGACACCCTGGTTTTCACAAGGCAAAGAAAGACCCAGGATGCTAAGTCTTATGTGTAATCTGAAAAATGAATAAAGTTTATAGTTTAAAAACAAAAAACGTTGATTTTACATCCACTAGTGTTGCGATCTGTAAGACTCTTGTTAAACTGTTGGTTTGAGACCCCACACCATGAAATACATCTCTATGTAACCTGTATCAGGTTGGAAAAAAAGACAAATAAAAAGAGCTTTTCCATCCTAGATCCTTCTTTGCTTTATTTGGGAAATCATGCTGTTTTGTTCTAGTATGCCCAACTGCGTAGTTCAGGCTGTCTTGTGAACACTAGCTAATAAATTATTAGCTAGCATTCAGTCCCTCTCCTAACCCTCAGAAACCTCAATTGAAGCACGACATATTAGTGATGTCACCATGCCCCTCGTCCACTCGGTTTTGTTGTTGAGAAGCGTATCCACCTTAGTCTGAACGACGGTGGTGCTTGATAAGACCTGCAGGACTTTAGGGTCAGCTGTTTGGTAGGCATTACTGACTGAAATGAGTTGATACTATTGTTTTCGGTTTATTAGAATGGAGACTGACTTTACATGCTGTCTCCATGTAAATAAGTTGTTGATCTAAAGGTAACCATGGTAACCAGCTGCTGACCCTGCTGCCCTTAAGTGATGGCCTCTTTATCACGCTGCATCTTTATTGGTGTCTAACAACACTCCTTTCACAGGGCCTTGTGAGATCATTGATTATGTTTTGATTGAGTGAACGATCCTTACCGCCGGGTATGGAAAACGCAATAAATTGTGTGTGTGTGTGATTGTGTAGTAGGACACTACTACCTATGCTAGGCAGAGGGTCAGTGTAGCTAGCCACAGCTTTGCGAGTACAATGGGTGAGTGTACATGGGATTGGTCGGGTGTTTTCGGCACCATTCCTGTCCACTGGAACAGCGAGGTCTTTTGAGAGTTGCTCCCACTCTGGCTTTCTCCTCATTACATTTTCTGTTGTCTACTTTTTTCTTTTTATTATATTTTTATTTACATTTTTCTTTTTTGTACAGATTACCTGGTTCCCTTTGTCTAGCATGATCTGAGGAGCCAGGTGTGCAGTGTTTCAATCAAAATGCTTTAGGTTTGACTTATGAAGGGCTGGTTGTGTTTGGGTTAGCTTTTAGGATGTTGGCTGCAGAGTTGGGCTTTCCTGCAGGGCATGGGGAGTGCCTGATGTGTCACTTCCAGCAGAGGAGGCTGGAGGGAGGAGCTATAGGAGGATGGGCTCATTGTAATGACTGGAATGGAGATAAACGGGGTTTCGATATGTTCGGTACTGTTCCATTGATTCCATTCCAGCCATTACAATAAGCCCCTCCTATAGCTCCTTCCATCAGCCTCCACTGACTTTTAGGTGCACTAACACGGCACACACACTGTTCTCCAATTCCTCATAGTGCTGTGTTGTTATCAAGGTCTCATGGCATTCAATGTGTTACGGTTTTCTTCAGCCTACAATCAAAACTGAATTGTTGATGTTAACACACACTCTATGCTGAGCTTTCTAGGTTGTTTGCTCTATATGTGTCATCGGGGTTAGTTATCCTGGTTCTGCAGCACAGGTAGTCACATCTTCCCCTTCGCTCCATGTGAAACATGACCAGCTTGCACAATAATACAATAGTACTGTAACTATAGACCATGGAAGGTTGCTCCATCAACCTCTTTACAACAAGCAGCAGGTGCAAAGCTTGAGCTTCTTGCTCACATCAGCAGTGCTCTCATTGACAACCCTCTCCCATCAGCATCGCCATAGCAACTACACCAGCAGACAGTCACCATGTGCAAATTAAACTGCGGCTATTCTCCACAGTCAACACACAGCTTCAAAATGTATACGATAACTGACAAAATTATTTTCGTACATCCATGTATTCCAAAGGCTACTGCGAATTTTGTTGAAAAACCCTTAGTACACTGTACTGTACACACCACCTGCTGATTGAAGTTGACCCTAAGGTCACAGCCCCACACTGACCTCTTGAGGGAAGGACTGACCTTTACCCTTGTATCTGTGTACAACTGGACAATTAGATCTCTTTTTCTTTCTTTTATGAATTGCTCCAGAAAAATCATTTCAGCAAATGAATAACTCTAATCTACTTTTTGGCCTTTTGCTTCTGTCATGATATTGTAGAGTTTAGTGCTAAAAGGAAATCCATTGAATTGAATGATGAGCGTCATTTCCGGTATAGGGCAAGTAATTAAAGTGTATATGAACTTCTGTATGAAAATGTATTTTAACTTGACAATTTCATTTAGCTACCATTGTTCAGATGTGAAGCTTTAATTTTGAGATCATTTTCTGTACAAATGACACAAGGTGTGTGTGTGCATATGTATTTTGATTTTACTTAAGGATTTCCCTTTGTTTTTAGCTTTTTTTAACCCATCTTGTAACATCTGAGAAATGCACTATAATAAAGAGATCTCTATTACAAATCTCTTGTATTTATTTCAGGAAAATATAAAATAGATGCTTAGATACTGAAACACTAGGCTAAAATAGGCTTAGATACTGAAACACCAGTAAGAACCTATTCATTACCTTGGAACAGAGATCCTATTCAACGAGGGTTCAGTTATGATCACGTTTAAGGTTTTCAGGCTAACATGAGTGTTTTTGAGGCACAAAAATCACAAAATGATGTTGAGAGCCCCTGAGGCAGATTTTCCTAGACTGCAATACTCCTCTAAGACACAGTGTGGCACTACCTTAAAAATAATAGGATGATTTGTTTCTCTCTTTCAAAGAATAAATGGTGCAGCATGGTTTCTCCCACTGACATAGAAAATGCTTTCATAGCAGGCTGTTCAGGGAGGCTTGGCCTGCAGAGGCTCAGTCTGTCCTTTCCTGTAGTGTCTGCTAGAGAGAACTGGGGTGGTTTGAGGCCCTGTTATGTCCGTTGTCCCTCTCATGTGCAAGGTTAAACACACAATCAATTCCTATCCTTAACTTTTGTATCATCTAGGTTAGTGTAAACATTTTATCTAGTAAAAAAATTAATATGTCACCGATCTCAGACAATTGATACGCCGCCCCACATATGTGTACAAATAGTGGTAGACTGGGCCGCTAATGGGAATCTGGATATCCGGTATTGACATGTAAACTTTGTCTCGGTTGCCAGAAATAAAATAATTATGCTTTCAAAGAATGCTCAGAGCACTTTTACCTACTCTGTCATTGTCTGGAATACCCTGGTGATCTATCTCAATATAATTTCTCAATTTCCTCAGACCAGGCTGGGATTGAGTTTTAAGCTTTCATTACAAGTCAATATCCCAAAGAATGTCCCTGTGTGGAGCTTAAAACAAGCCCTTAGATATACTTTACAGGAGACCATATCCCATTTGCAGTTATATTTTTGAAGGGGTCCATATGTTTAGGTGAAGCTCATGCAGCCTGTTCATTATCCTCTTTGTTTGGGTTCCCCAAATTCTACAAAGGATTCACGGAATCAGGTCGAGGTATCTGTATTCGATTTAGATTTTTACATGCCCAATGTTTTTCTTTCTGATAAGAAAGCTTCATTTTCTTTCCTTCATCTTATAAAAAGGGAGGATATAACATTGAAAAGCAGTCTTAGGGAAGAATGTCCCTCATATTTTGCCATATGAAGTTAACTTTATTGGAACCACCTTGAAGAACAGTGACAATATCAAATGTAACCGATAACAATAGGGAGTGTTTGATCCTCCCTCCCCTTGTCTCACCTACATCTTGGCTGTCTGATTGACAGGTCAGGTGACACATTAAGGTCAGTGTGATGGACTAGAGTGTTATCCCCATGGCAACTCACGCTTGTCCCCTTGGAAACGTGCCTATCTCACCTGTCATGCATGTAGCAATTTTCACCTTTTTCAAGTACCTGCCATAGAGATTGAAAATAAGGTGGTGTAGATCACAAAGGAGAGACGGCGTGTTCTTTCCCTTTGTGAGGTGACAGCCGCTCAGCAGCAGGAGAGGGGTTGATCACGTTTACCACACATACTGCACACTGTTTTTGCTCTCATAAAAATTCATATGCATATCCATATGAAATGGATCTATATCAATATGCACCTAATTAAGACCATCTGGCAGTGGTGCAGCATGTATGGCTTTGTTACTGTCACTGCCTCAGTCAGAATCATATCACCATGCAGATATAGTAGCTACAGTATATTGGAATCCCCCATAATCCTCTCTTCCTCCTCCTCATCCTCCTCCAGCTCAAGTGTACCATCAGGGACTAAATGAGATAATTAGTGTTGATGGATTAATCATGACGATTTAATTAGTCTCTTTGACGTTTGTTGGGGTATTAATGCTCCGTGTATATATGGGTAGGGGGCCTGGGAAAGGAAGGGCATTATATTCACATTAGCAGGCACCTGCCTCAATTCTCTCAACAGACGTGGCTGTCATAATTCTAATGTTTGTCCAAAGGAGATCTTGAGATGGGCCCTGGATGGTTCAGTATGGCCCTTCCCAGCCCTCCTCAATCATTTAACTGTTAACCTTTCCTAACAAAGCCCGCATGGGAGAGCTGTTCTGACAGTGAGAGAGAGAGAAAGAGAGAGGGAGAGGGTAGAGAGAGACCCCCTATCCCCCAGATGTCCACTTTAATCATATATCTCTATCACATTCTCCATATTTCTCTGCCATGATTGAGAATCCTCTTTTTGCCCCCATTCAGATTCAAATTGGATTGGTTTAGTCAGGTTTTAGGGAGAAATACATTTTAATTAGAGATGACAGTGGGGTGTATGGTAAAACCGGTGTGTGTGTGTCTGCATGCGTGTGTGTGTGAATGTCTCCCTCCCACCTGAAGGGCGAGCAGAGGTAGCTGTCACCTCACACTCAGTGACAGCCCCGTGTTTGACAAGCCCACAGGCACTACTAAGAGGGAACTCAGAGAGACAGGCTCATCACCTCCTGCAGGGTACCAGGCAGACTGCAGCCTGTCTCTTTTCACACGCACTTAATACCACAGCTTAGGAAAACACCTCAGCTGTTATGTTGCACTGTAACAAGCAAACATTGAATTTGGCTTTACTAGTGTGTGATGACGGGTTATTACCCCTCTCCTTCTTGCTGCTATGTAGAATCAACCCTAAACATGTGTCTGCTCTCACCACTAGAGGGTACCAAAGTTCCATTTAGCTCACTGCTGGCTTTCCATTTGGTTTCTGATCTGTGCACATACACACACACACACACACACACACACACACACACACACACACACACACACACACACACACACACACACACACACACACACACACACACACACACACACACACACACACACACACACACACACGCACAATTTAAATTAGGGTCATGGTGGAACTGTCTAGCTAGCAGAAATGCTATGAAGAAGGTTGGGGCTATAATAATGAAATAGTGCATAATGTAGGTTGATGAGGGCTGAGGATCATGGTGGGTTGATGAGGACTATGGATCATGGTGGGTTGATGAGGACTATGGATCATGGTGGGTTGTAGAGGGCTGAGGATCATGGTGGGTTGATGAGGACTATGGATCATGGTGGGTTGATGAGGGCTGAGGATCATGGTGGGTTGTAGAGGGCTGAGGATCATGGTGGGTTGTAGAGGGCTGGGGATCATGGTGGATTGATGAGGGTTGAGGATAAGGTGAGCTGTAGAGGGCTGAGGATCATGGTAGGTTGATGAGGGCTGAGGATCATGGTGGTTTGATGAGCGTTGAGGATCATGGTGGGTTGATGAGAGCTGAGGATCATGGTGGGTTGATGAGGGCTGGGGATCATGGTGGGTTGATGAGAGCTGAGGATCATGGTGGGTTGATGAGGGCTGGGGATCATGGTGGGTTGATGAGAGCTGAGGATCATGGTGGGTTGATGAGGGCTGGGGATCATGGTTGGTTGATGAGAGCTGGGGATCATGGTGGGTTGATGAGAGCTGAGGATCATGGTGGGTTGATGAGGGCTGGGGATCATGGTTGGTTGATGAGAGCTGAAGATCATGGTGGGTTAATGAGGGCTGAGGGCTGGGCGGGGCCTGGTTGGGGGTCCTAGAATGCTGTGCTGCTGGTGATGAGGGTGTGTTTATATAAAACGGAGCCCATACTGTGCCAGCTAGACCACAGCACCATGGTTATCTCTACAGCATGAGAGAACCATGGTGACATTACCTTGGAAACAGCACCATACTTAATTATAGAGAGCGGTTGGGCAGACATGGAAAAAGAAAGGAGAACGGAGACATTGACTCTTTGCAACAGG